TCTAGCCAGTCTGGATGTACTCCAGGGCGGGTATCAAGCTGGCTTTGGCAAGGTCCGGGAGTCTTTGTGGAGGCGCTCGCCAGCCGTTTACCAGCGGGGGATAAAGCGGATGGCGCAGGAAGATGTGCAAGCACATGCTCAAAGGATCCTCCAATTTCCTTACTCGTGTTAAAGCCAATGGCCCCACCCTGGAGGACCACTGACCCTTGCCCACGCGTAACTAGGAGCCAGGGCTACACAAAATGCACCGGGGCACTCAGAAAACTATAGCAAACAATAGCTGGGTTTCAAAGTCTGGGATAGACAAAGGCAGTTAAGCAGATGAATTGCTGATCCCCCTGCCAGACCACAACGGGTCCAATCTCCGCATGGACACTGCCTCAGATTTGGGCAAGGTTCAAGGCATCACTGCTGTCAGGCCAGCATGTCAGCTGTCATGACTGTCCGCAGGAAAACGATTGCCACAGACCTAGGGTTTACCCTGGACATAAGTTTGACACCCGAAACTAGCCATAAAACCACGAAGCCATCCTATTATGGGTGCTTCCTTGTCGGACGCATCAGGCTGGGCAGCAAGTGCGCCGCGTAGCATCAAGCGGCCTCGCATGCACGTGCAAAGCAGAAGGAAGTGGAAGCGTCCACCCCCCAAGCAAAGCCTAGGAGGGTTTGAACCCAAAGCATTCGCTGAAGGCAGCATCGGCCGCGCACCGCCGGGAACTCATCGTGCAAGAGAAAGGCGCAGGGCCTGGCGGCTGAAGAGCCCATGCGATGCATGGCTCAGTCCCCCACTTTCAGGGAAAAGAAGGCACATTAGGCACGCAAAAAAGATTGGATTTTTGAAGCATCACCACTTTCACTGAAGACTCAAGCCATGGTCCAACGAGGGGCTCCCTGCTGGGCAAGCACGAAAACCTGGCGGTCGCCAAGCGCCTGTAAGGTCAGCGCCCAGCCGCTTGGTGCGGGAGCCGCAAAGCTGCCCGCCCTCGCCGGGTGGCCCGGGGGAGCGACATGCATGGCGCGCAGGGGAGCGACCATGTACATGGCGGACAGTATATCTCATACTCCGATGCAGAACATGTTGGCAAGTGTTCCATTTTGTTTGCTGAATGTTCTGTGATGTTGCATTGCGCAGTCGTAAGCAGCACGTGAAAGCATGCTGCGCAGGTGGTGAGGGGCTTGTTTGCGTGGCTTCCTCGCCTTGCTCTAAGGCCTTTGTTTCTCCACTCAGGGTTCCCTGAGGCGTGGGGCCCGGGTGCATGGCTCCTCACTGGCTGAAATTGCTGTGGCTTCCTTGCGCTTTTTGCGTTTTTTGTGGCGACTGAACGACCCTGGCCGGGAGTGGAACCCTTGAACAGGCGCAGCCGCCGCGCAGGAGGCGCCTGCGTGGGCTGTGGGGTCAAGCTGGATGATTGGCTCAGTTGCCCGAAGCAAATGAAGACAGGTAGTCAATTCATGTTGTCGTTTTCAGGTCCAGTTTGCATGGCTTTGCTGTTTGCTGGTTGTGATAAGCCCGAGCTGACAGTCGCAGTTCGCACGTCAGCAACATGGCTTCTTCAATCGGTGTGCCCCTTAGGTTTTGGGGCTTCACCCGAAAAGCTCCAAGTGAGAGGCTCAGCTCCTCCCCGTCAGGGTGGCCAGCCACGACCACTTCGGCTTTGTGCGGCAGATGTCCTTAGAGCTCGGCTGCCCCAGCTGTGGACGCCTGGTCCTGGAGTGTTCGGATGTTGTTCCGCGAGCGCGCCGCGTATCAGTGAGCGAGAGAGACACAGAGAGACCTGAGGCAGAGGACCAGAGTCATGAGAGGTTGAGAGAAGGCGAGAGAGGACTGGAAGGCTGCTGTTGCATGCGTGTAGCCAGTAAAGGAGAAGCAGAGGGGGAGAGGCCTCTGAAGCTTCACCGGCGTGCTGGATGGCGTTTGTCGAACGTGCCGCTGGAAAGGGAGTTGTGACCAGGTCCTCGTATTCAACGGAAAGGAGCTTGGCCACAACTCCTGCAGCGCCTCGGCTTACCGGCCTCGCAAAGGACGTTTGGTTGCCATGCCCTTCGTTGATTCATATCCGAGTGCCCCTTCAGCTGGGGCCTCGAAAGTCGGATCGCTCGGAGGGATCAGCTACTTAGGTCCCGTCGGGGGCTAACCTTTCAAAGGTTCCTTTTCTGGCTCTGGCCACACGTGGGATCAGAAAGCTGTGATTGTATCTTGGCCGGCTGTACGGCAAAGCTTGTTGACAGACATCTGAAACAAGACGCAAGGTGAAGCATACCAGTTGGGCCATGTTCGCCGTTCATGACAGGGAGTCGAGATGAGTGGAGGCAACTATTGATAAGGCGTCCTCTTCTGGGCACCATTGCTCAAGTTTAACTCTCTTGCGCTGGTAGCAGGGGTGAGGTCAATTATGCAAGCATCTTGAAACTCTGGTGGTAGAGACGTGTCACCCGCGGATTTGCATCAACAAGATTGCTGTGCGAACAGGTTAGGGCTCATTAAACTAAACATGGCACACCACCTTCAAACACTATTCGGTCGGCATTTTCGTCGTTTGAACGTTAAAAGGAATAGCCCCGGCCTGGGCCTGACGATGGTGTGCATGTCCGTTCCACCTGCCCGTCGAAGGCTCTCTTCCCGAGCACGCCGGAGTGTCAGCCGAGCCCTGCTGGGAGCCCAAAGGGCCGACGAGCCAAGGAGCAGATGCCAAACTTGAAGGTTCTCTCTTGACAAATTTTGACTCGGACTGTTTCCCATTTTTGCAATTTTCGCAATGCCAGAGAGGTCCTTGCAGTGGTTTCATCTCGTGGCTGAGGCTGGCTTCATGTTGCCGCCGCTGCCCTGCCGGCCTTTTGGAGTCGGGCTGCCTCGCATGTCGTTTGCGAGGTTTTCCGGAAGGTGCGGACAATTGCAAGCCCTGGCCTTCAATTCAAGAAAGCTCCTACTGGGCACCACGCCATCACCCCAGCCAGAACGAAGAAGCAATCATATCTCCGGACGCCCCACCAGCCACAAAGATGCAGGCTATGCACTCATTTTACAAATCAGGCGTGGGTTAGGTGTTAATTAAGGTAGGAGCCCTTCAAATGGCTTTGCTCTTGTGGTCTTTTTCAACTGCCCCACAAGGTGACCCAGCCCGATGTTTTGTTGAGAGAGCTGGCTGAATCTCGCAGCCAGGCACGCGCCCCCGACCGGCTTTGCAGGGCGTCCCAGGCTGTCTACCTCCAGGCGGAGGTTTCGAAACTGATTCTTGAGGCTTGCCCAGTCTTTTTCGGGATCCTCCGTCGCAAACATAATGTAGCAATTCCCACTCAAGTAATTAAAGAGCGGGAAGGTTAGAACTAATATTGGTCACTGCTGAATAAAGGTCCCCCCCCAACCAAACTTTGCAGACTCAATATAGAGAAAACCGGTAAAACATTTTTTGAGTCAGATGGTGTTTCCCCAAGTTTTAGCACTGGACTAGTATTGGTCATATAGTGCTGGTTTAGTATTGGTTTGGATTGGCTTGGCATTGGTTTCGTATAGATTCGTGCTGCCTTAGTGCTGGCTTTGCCCTGGTACAGGCTTCGTCTGGTTTTGTATGGGTTTGTCTTGGTTTAGCATGTTGGAATTTCGGCCTGGAAAAAGGTTGCACAATCGGATCCCCCTGTTCATTTCTATTATTGAGTGTTTGGGGCGGCAACGTGCTACCCGTGGAAATTTGTCAGCTGAGCCCCTTTGTATTACGGAGATGTAAGGAAACAAGCGGTTTCTGGGATTCTCAGAGAAACGAGCTAGTGGAAGAAGAGAGATGGGCATTAATTGCCATAGGGCAGGGTCAGAGACGGTTGCGCAGTTGGGTACCCTTGTGAACAAAAAGTTGAGTATTCGAGGTGGTGGCCACGTACCATCCCCTTGGACAATTGTCAGCTGAGCGCTTTTACGCCAAGGAGATGTAAGGTGATCAGCGGTTTTGGGGTTGGTTTGTAGATATATTGTGAGTTTCTCAGTACTCAGAAGAGAGAACTAGTGGACAAAGAAGAGAGATGGGGAATTACTATAGTGCAGGGGTGGAGAGACGGCTGCGCAATTGAGTACCCTTGTGCATTTCTATGTGCTAATGTAGATTCAGTTTTGAAGAGCAGATGAAGTGAGATGCAAATGAGCAACTATGGATGAAGTTGAAGATGAGCGTGCTTGCATCTGATGCTAAAGTGATGAGATGTTGGTTAGAAGAATTGGGAGCACAGCTCCCAATGATGAGAAGGATGATGACAAGTAGTTGCGTTTGAGAATTGAGTGTGATCATCAGCTGAAGTTGGTTAGAAGCATGCATTGTGTCTTGAAAAGAGCAGCCTTTGTAGTTGAAGATGCCGACTAGTGTGCTGCACTAAGTTGAGAAGCAGTCTGTTGCCTTCTGTGTGGCAAAACCGGAGCAAGCTGGGGCAAGCGCAGCAAAGCAATCAAGCCTCTAGGCCCACAGATCCCTGTTTATTCAAGAGTGCCCCCTCAGAAGTGCACGTGCACTATTCTTGACCGTGATCGCACAAATTGGGGCTGAGGTCTTGCCCATGGCCCATTTCCCTGAAACCTTACGGGGATGTCGAAATGAGAACGGATCCCCAATGGCCCAAATCTGTGCGTGGTCCAATCTGTGCTCGCCTTGCTTCATAGCCATGCTTATGCTTTGCTGCTTATATAAGGCTCGAGAGCCGGTTGTCGTAGTTGCCAGCGAGCAAAAGTCTCGCAGCGTGTCTGCAGGCATGCAACCGAGAGAGGGCGCGACGAACTTGAAATCATGTCAACCATGCGTTGGATGTTGGCCATTCGTCGAGTTGAGCCTGTGGCAGGCAAAAGGCAATCCCGGTCCAACAGGTGCATTGCTTCCACAGCGGCAATGTTGCTTCTGGCCCCCCAAAACGTGCAGGAGATCCCGGATCAACTAAGAGCCATCCTTGATGTGGAACATTGTGGGACCATTGCGGGCAGTGGAGGGTGAACATGGCCTTCAAGAGCTTCTGCCGAGGTGAGAGCCATGATGCGAGTTCAGGTTAAGGAGGGCGAGATGACCAAAACCATCTACTCGCACATCATGGAGCAGAAGTATGACAAGGCCTGGGGCCTTCACGCCCCTTTGAAAGCCAGCGCGAAGTACCATCGGGGAGTTGTCCATTGGGAGGTGTAGAGGTTCCGTGTCTTGGCAGGTGTCGCTTTGCTGGCCAACCCGTTCAGTTGTCGCTCCATATTGCAAAATCTTCCAGATTGTTGGTGTCCATATCGTTTGTTGCATTTCAAGATGTTCTACATTGTTCATGTCTAATTGTACAGATATATAGTATTGGTATACTTCACAACATCGCCCAGATTGTCTATGACCACAGGCGGTGAAAATTCTGAACCAGCAGCTGCAGTTCTTCCCAGAGAGCCGCTGCGCCTTGTCTTTGCTTGGCTACTGCTATTACCACATGCAAGACTTTGCAAGCGCCGCCGATATCTACGGACAACTGGTGCAAGTGGTGCCGGAAGTGGACGAGTACAAGATCTACCATGCCGCCCGGCTTGAAACAATTGTCTGGAAGGGTGGAAGAATGCACTTTGCACGTCAAAACGGTGTCGCATCGGAATCTAAGCGCACAGGCTCCCCACTTAGTGCATTGACTGCCCATTCCCTGTTCCAGAAAACCAGCCGTCACGCGCATTTGTTGATTGGCTGAGGGCATTGTCAGCCAAGCGTGCTACTTCACTTGGGTATGGCACAGTGAGGGCTCTTTGGCGATACTCTGGACATGTAGCCCATAAGCCACACGCAGGTAACCCCTAGTTGGTGATTTTAGATTGGTGGTTTGGGGGGTTTGAGCCATTGGGAAGCTGACAGAAGCCACTGCTGTTAATTCACCCCGGATGAAGATTCGTATTTGCCCAGATGTCTTCCCCCCGGAAGGCAACCTGCCCAAATTTCTTCCCCTCCCGGAAGGGGGGGAAGAACACACAAGAAAACAAGTGGAAGCCTTTGGCTCTCGGGGGCCATGTCAGGCCTTCCTCTGATTCGGGCGGCGCTGACACTTGGCCTCAGGTCCAGAGCTTGATCAAGGCGGGCCTCTACGAAGAGGCCTCACAGGCGAGGGTTTGGGTATGGGGCGGGGTGGATCGAAGGCTCCCGAGTTTTTAGGGGCCATTTGTGTGGCCGCAAGCGGCATTTGAGTTAGACATGCGAGAGGTTGGCATGAGGTTGGCTTGATCCGCAACCGGCCGACCAAGTCTTTTGGAGGGGTCCCTTTGAGCATATTTCCAGGTGGGCAAGTCTTATGCAATCAATCGCCAAGAGCCAGATGGGGTTTGTGCCCTGCTAAGTTTCCTATGCCTGGACAGGCCTGGAGAATTCCAAATGAGCCAAATACCAAACGTTTCCACAAATCTATGCCGACCCCGCCTGTTTGGGACTGGGTTCATCCTGCCAGGCCTGCACAGCTGTGGAGTCCCCGGAGTACACAGCCGCTTTGTCAGTGTTTCCGCACGCGAGGTTGGTTTCTAAGGGGCCGCCCATGGCTCAATGAGCGAGGGTTGGGTCGAAGGAGGACTCACGTTGCAGCAACGTGACCTTGGCAATGTGGACGCCTGCTCTTAGAGCGGTTCTTCATGCAAAAAGGGCGGCATGTCAGTTCCCCAGCGCCACGCCCGTTTGTTGCCTCTCGGGGCCGGGACCGTGTTGCGGCCCGAGCTTTGCCGCCTGAGGAGCGCGTGCTCATGCTGCAAGCGACCATCTCCTATGAACAGGACGGCAGCCGGGCAGGTGGGTGTTCTTGTGTGTTCTTGTTTTGGCAAGAGGGGCCAGGGAGCTGAAGCGATTGAACCGCTTGGGACCCATGAAACACACTGGCCAGTTCATAGTGCCAGGGCAAGGGGACACCTCAATCATGCAAACAAACCAAGGCTTTGCCACAAGAGCTTATCCCTTGGCATTTGTCGTTTGTCTTGAGATGTCTTGAGATGTCTTGAGAGCGGGGAATGGAACCAACTCAGGCTCCGTGTGTTGTTCGACCCATCCTCCAACTTCAGGAGGAGACGCAGCTGGCGCGCAGCATCTTGGACCAGTGCCACCCTGACTCCGAGGCGTGGCGATAGACGTGCGACCCTGCAAGCTTCGGGCAAAGTATAGAGCATGAATGTGCATGGTCCGTTTGGGAGGGAAATCGGGCGCTCCTGAAGTTGTCCACCATAAGCGGGGACTCAGACATGTCCAGTGCCATCTTACTGCAAGGCAGGGCACTGTCACTGACAAAAGGGAAAGGCGTGTGCAACAGGTGGCCAGCGCGCTTGCATGTTGACAAGCCGCGTTAGGTACTGCGGGTCGTTATTTGTTTCTAGTTTGGTGCATTGTGCACCTGGTCCTATCTGCGGGCATGTCCGATGCACCCTCATGTTCTTTTTTTGCCACTTTGCCCCTTCTAGCCGTAGATCGTCACATGTTTCAATTGTCAAGGATGCCTAAATGTGTGAGTTTGTGTTATCCAGACATGGTCTTTCTCTCCCTGGCTTTCATTCTTTCTTTCATTCATGCGCATATTGGGCGCAGCTTATTCTTAACCCAGCTCCACGCTTGCGGCAGGAGAGGCAGGTCTTTGAGGGCGCGCTCCTCTGGAAGGAGAAGAGGCGCCTCTGCTCTGGGTATGCCTTCAAGTGGGGACTTCGGTGTTCCTTACAAAAGCCAACCTCAAAAAGATACTCACAATAAAAGACACAGATTACTCGGGCTTGTCTTCAAGACGACAACTGCAAATCACCAATGGCTCCCTGGAAGGTTTGCCATGCAACTCCCAGCAAACGCCGATGTCACTTAGTTGTCGTTCCGCTTCCCCCTGTTTTGTGTGTTGAAAAGGATGTCTCAGTAATTTACTTTATTTGATGATTCCTGCCCTTGACGCATTTCCGCATGTTGTTTCAGTGTTCCACCCCCGTATCATTCCTGATGCGCCGCAGCCAACCCACATCGGATTCGGTGTGTTTGGAGGGCGGGTATGGGTTCTCCAGGAAACCGTCCCATGAATCAAGTGCCAATTTGTCTCAAACGGCATGCCATGCAAGGGGTGTTAGAGTAGACTCGAGAAAGAACTGGGCCATTTCTCTCTAGCAGCGAATAGGGGCAGTGGAAGTACAGAGTTGGACCACTTCAAACAGCAACAATTGGTTTCCAGCATTGGGTTGTATTAAAGCCTGCATTGGGTTGGGTTTCATAAAAATGCATTGGGTTGCCGGTCTAGCGCAACCGATCCAGCGAGATTTGTTTCTGCATTTTGCCGCGAGTGAGTGAGTTGGGCAGTTCAACTGGGCCTCTTTTTTTTGTGAGTGCGTTCTTGTGGAGCCCCAACAGCCTACCTTGCAGCATCCTTGCGTTTGGCTGAAACAAAGGGGAGTCCGCAATTTAAATGTGTGATTTTACTTTGGTTTCTCGTTGAAACAACACAAACACGGGCATTCACGCACTTGCAAATTTCCCACCATGGACCTGCAAGCATCGGACCGGAGGTATCCAGAAGCCATGAAGCTCTTCAATGACGCGACGGCAACCACTGGCTACCAGGCAGGTTTGAAGATGCATCCATTCTCCAATGCCCAGAGCCATTTGTTCACTGAATATGTTTGTGAAAAAAGTGAAGCTTGCATCCGTGACAGGCGAGCCTTGCATACAACGTTGCCCTGTGCTACTACAGCTTCTTGGCCGGTCAGGGTGTTTCGTCGCTTTCAAGCTTCAGAATCGCACGATGGGATTGCCACGCTGTGCTCTCAGCATCTATGATGGAACATGCTGCCATGCTACAGTCCACATCAGACATGGAGTTGTGGCGTGTTCTGTTTTTCCCCTGATAGAGTGTGGTACAGAAAGCATCTTCTGGAAAGCCAGCACGACACGCCTTGGAGGCAAAATCAGCTTCGCTCTCTGGATCATTTGCCGCAGCTGTTCTTCTCTAGTTCCATAACTTAGCCCGACAAGCCGCACCCAGAACAGCAGCAGATTCACAGAAATCCCCTTAGATGTCAGGGATCCACGTATGCTTGTTCGTTGAGGTAGCCTGCACTTGTGTTCCATAGGGCACAGAGGTGAGCCAAATTCAACCGGTGTGTTGAAGGAAGCATGCATCTGGCAGCCATTGGTTTTTGAACTTGTGCAAAACGCAGATTAGCGATGGGCCTTTCCCAAGAAGCGGTCCTGCGGCGTGGACCTAGCATAGTGTACGATATGAAGGGCTCCTTAAAAGATACATTTTGCGCATTTGAAACATTGAATTTTCCACAAAAATAAAGGGAAACCACCATTTACAAGGCAATGTTCAGGTGTATAGTAAGGATCCCTGATATGCTTGGTAATTACATGTCATGTGCCAATCTGTGAGCAGCACGTTGCGCTTTCCTCCCTACAAGGGATTGCGAGTTTGTGGCGCTCGGAACTTCGTGGGGCGGAGTTGGAGTTTGTAGTGCACATTTGGGTCGGCAGCTTCACCGCACTCGTGTCCGAAACCTCAACCCAGACATGGCGCCTGCCCTGAACTCCAAGTTCAGGCGGTCCTATGATTCTATGATTCTATGATACACGCGAGGCCCTAGCTGTGCCAGCACATCCCTACCGCACAGCTTTGGAAAAGCCCCAATAAAGGACAAAGGGAGGGCAACTGTCACGCAGGCTTGGGTTGGGACCATCCCCGGACCCGTATCAAGTACAGAGCCGATTAGTCGACATGCGTCAGTAATACCCTGGGGGACGTCATAGCAGATTGTGTGGCATATGGTGAAGCGTGCTACTGGACGTGCACCGAGGCTCAAAACAGTACGGTCCAGCTTTGAAGCACATTGCAGAGATCATCGAGCGGGGCGTGAGGGACCATCCGGAGCTGAGCGTGGGCGCACTGTGCTTTGGCATCGATGTCTAGGGTTCACAAGGGCCATGACGTATACCTCGTTTCGGTGAAATGTGGCAACTAAAGTTGTGTCATTCTGTCATTCTGTCATTCTGTCATTCTGTCATTCTGTCATTCTGTCATTGGTTCACTGTCCGCTGGTTTAGCTTTCTTCAAGACTTGAAGGGAAGTTTCTCCAAATCAGGCAGAATGCCCACATATATGCCAGCCGAAGATTGGCATTTGAGACTCTGCGAACCGGCTGGGCACCCGAAACGGCAATGGGCCTTCCACTGAATGCGTGTCGAGACCGGGCTTGCACCTTTAGGTCCAACCAGGGTAGTCTCAAAGTCCATCTCCAGTGGGACCATTTTGCTTCGCCACAATTAACCAGTCTCAGTTTCCCGGAAAAATGACCGAGACTTTGATTGAGGATTGCTTGAGTTAGCGGAGTTTCTTCTTGATGCCCCAGCGGGGTCTTGCTGGTTGCTAGGTCTGAAGGCGACCTGAAAGCTCGGAGCCTTTGGCGGCACAGAGAAAGGTGGGGCCCTTGTTGGGTTGCCTCCCTACAATCTCACATTGGGCCTGAGCAATTGTTTTGTTTTTCTTGGGGGGGGGGGGGGTGTTTGTTTGGGGGTTGGGGGGGATGCGTGATTGAAGATCGGTTGACGTGAGTAGCTCTGCTCACTGCACAGGAGGAGGGAGCTAAGCAGAATATGTGTTTTGCTGGCGTGCAGGCAGGGTGCCCATTGGCTGACGGATTCAACCTGTCACCCCTTCCTGTTGTTGGTGGGTCCCGGGGCGCAAAGCCATGAAGGCCGGGCCCCATTCACCCCCTTGGCTTCCCTGAAAGACGCGCACACGTGGGACCGTCGGATCAGCAAAGTTTCTCCTGCACTTCACAGGTCTGGTCAGGGGATGTCAGGGGTGACATTCGCTGGAGGTCCGAAGATCTTGGCAGTGCAAAACACGACGGTTCTGAGCTGTAACAGGGGTGGCTGGTCACCATGAGGGCTAGACTCCGAACAATTTCAAGGATTGTCATCAAGTGGCCTTGAAGGCGCCCTTGGCCGGTCAGGGTTGTACCGGGATTGACTGGGGACTGCCTACCACTTGTTGAAGATATTCCGGTATTTCTCTCTGAGGCCAGTCCCTAGTTCGGTCAAGGTGGCTGGGGCTCCAGGAGATTTTTTGGCCGGCCTGAGCCAAGGGAAGTAGGGAGTGGTCGCTGGCTCCGCGATAGACGCATTTGCCCAGGAGCGTGGGCAATACCTCGGTTCTGCGTGAGACTGCGTTGATCGAAGCCTTCAACTTGAAGTCTGCGATTGAGCACCTCGGCATCGTGTTATATATGGCTGTGGGTAAAAACCAACGGTACGATTTTGGGGTAGGTGCACCACCCATTTTAGTCTATTTTAGCGGGGATTGGGATGTTCACTGGGTGAACGGTGATATTGACCCATGGCCATATGAAGAAGGTCATGAGCTGTTGAAGAAGCTGAAGCAGACTGCAAAAGGGTCACCAGAGCGGACGCCACATGATCATGCGTGGATCAGCTCGCTGAGGTACATGACAAAGAACATGGAAGCCGCAAAGGACGGGTAGCGTATTTGGGCCTATCCTTGCTATCCAAGCTGGCACGGGAGTCAAAGGTGAATGCTCTTCCACGAGTAAGGACACCGCTCCTGCTTCTTTTTTTGGGCTTGTTCTTCCACATGTCTCAATGTTTCGCTGCACAGTCCAATTGATATGTGACAAAGGGAGGTGGAGCCCTGCGGCTGGTCATGTTTCATGCCTTTGCCGCGTTCCTTTGCTGGGTCCAAGCCTCTGGAGAAGGAGGGCAGCTCCGGTGTTTGTCCCAAATGCCACATGACTAGCTTCCAAGCACAGGATGCCCTCAGCAAGTTCACAGGACGCCCTGGCAGACATGCCGCCCCGGGATGAGTCGGAGTTGGACCCGGTCACGCTGCACAACCAAGCGCTGATTGCCGGGAGTCCCAGACATAGGTGTGCGTTTCTTGGCTTTCTGGGGATGTTGCTGTGCGGGTTGGTATGTTTAGCGTTTTGGGTAGGTGAACCCCTGAAATCTGAATCGATCAAACGGCACCCTTCCCGCCCTGTGGCCACGGGAGGCGCAAAAGGGCGGTTGTTTACCCCTGGCTGGTTGCACTCGGGGGTGAGAATTTACAAAAAAGGCCAAGGAGACTTTGAGGGACATTTTACGTTGGCTGCCCATTTGGAGTCCCTCCCAAACAGGGCCCACGATGACCTGGACGTTGGATTGATTTCTGGGGCCTGGGGCCAGCTCAGCGATGGGAGTCGAGATATGACATCCAGTCGTAGGGATTGATTTCGAGGGATTTCAAGTGCTACTTGCCAAATGGGGCAAGTGGCGCGCCGTGAGCATTGTTCAGGCACGCCGTTTCGGTTGTGCCATGAAGCAATTGAAGTTGCTTCGTATAGTGGTTGGGGCGTGGTCATGTCAAGCAGGATGGGATTACAACCAGGAGCCATGGCAACACCTTGGAGCACATATTAGCTATCATGTGCGACTATGTAACCACATCTTATTTGATGGTTGCAAGGATGGCTGTGCAATTCGCGGTTGTTGTGCTTCTGCATGTGGCAACCATGTAGATACAATAGAATGCGCCATTTCCCTCGCCGCACATCGCGTTTTGCCTGGCTCCGGGGAAAACATATCTCTTTCGGGGCTGGCCCACTTGCAGCATTCTTCCAGGCATTCCAGATTGCAGGTGGCCCCCTTATGGGCGGTTTGGGATTGGAGGCTTGGGAGCCAGCCCTTTACAATTGCCAGCCGCAATTCTTAGACCGACACTTTTTCAAATCAGATCAGTAGCAAGATGTCCATTGCCTTGCTCCAATCTCCAAAAGCTTCCAGCCACCGGGACCCCCAAAACCATCCAAGCCGCCTACCCCCTAAACCCTCCCTAACCCCCCCCTACCTCCCCTGACCCCACCTACCCCCCCCGCCCCTACCTCCCCTGCCCCCCCCCCCCCCCACCCCCCCCCCCCCCCCCGCCCCCCCCTACCTCCCCTAACCCCCCCTCTACCTCCCCTAACCCCCCCCCTCCCCCCAACCCAAGCTTCATGCCATCCAGGAGATGGACGAGAAGCCGACGGAGGGCTTCCGAAAGCTCAACTTCCTGCTGAACCAGCAGCCCTCGCCCCCGGCACCTCGTTCTGCCCTCACCGGTGCGGTTCACGCATATGAATCTGGAAAACTTGGCCCCTGGAAAGCAACACGAAACTGGTTTTTTTGTGGATCCTTTGCCAATTCAACAGTCCAGGGGTCGGAAGAAGGTGGAGATTTCCGCAGGGTGAGTGTTTGGATGGGCCACATTGGCGCGTGTACGGGCGTTTGTGGAGAGGATGCAATTCAGTTCTTCACTTGCTTGTTTAAACATGGCTCCTCTAAATCGGCCAGAAGTTGCAAAGCCGAGAAAGTCGGGTTTAGACCATCGAGGGAAGCTGCTCTGCCCATGAGTTCCCAACATTTCAACGTGGCTCCATATGCTGAGTTTCTGGGTGAGAGTCCTGCCAGGTACCATGAGAACTGCATTGTTGTTTTTTTGGGTTTGGGGGGGGGGGGAGGGCGGGGAAGGGCACGGTGTCAGCCCTCAGTCACAGCAAGACCAAGGCCTACCAGCCAAGATGAAAACAACAGGAGCGCGACGTTTATGATGTGTTTGTTATGTTTTTACACGGCCAGGCTTGTGCGGATCACGGGTCCTTGGCTGATGCTGCGGACCTGTCCACGACACGTGATGTCTATTTGGAAGCTGACTAGCTGCAGGCTCATTTCTGTCAGGTTTAAGCATGGAAAGGACATCACCTCTGATTTGGCTTGATGAGGTGTTGGACAGCTAGGGGTTGGTTTGCATGCGACCTGCGGGTCCACCAAGCAAAGAGTGTTAAGTTAAGAGAGTACTCGCAACGGCCGCAACATGGCCCTCGCCTCACATGGCCCACAATGCACGAGTTGCTTGCATGCTTTGGCCCAGGCAGGTCATGAAAAAGTTTGCTCATTTTCTGAAAGGGACCCCGCATGTCTGGCAACCGCAATCCAGTTTTTTTTTTAAATCATTTGAGCGTGTGCAGCCCTGATACGCTGCTCATGCCTCAAGGTGCGCGAAATTCGTTAAACGGAAACGGTGGCATGGTAACCTGCAAGCAGTTGTGCAGCCAACTCAAAATGTTGAGGATGCTTGCGTTGTGGTTTCCATCGGCATGCCCGCATGCATGCGCGTCAGCCAGCACACTCGCGCCAAGGAGACGTTTGTGAACCTACTGTTGCTGTACTGCAAGTACAGAGCCTTTGCTGAAGAGAGAGGGAGACAGTTGTGAATGACATGCCCCTTTGAGAAGGCAGACGCTCATGTCGGCAAACACAAACTGAGGGAGTTTGCTTTTCGAGACATGGCCAATACGTACATGGCATTTTGCAAAGCATATTCGCTGATACGTTGAGAAAGCAGACTGAGCAAACACTGCTACTGTTTGGGCCTAGGCTACTACGATCTGGCAGCTGACATTCTCGCGGAGAACGCCGAGCTCACGTACAAGAACATGAAGCCGGAGGATTATGTCGCTAGGCTTTTTGCTTGGAAGGCTAGAGCTATCATAGCTTACCAATTGGAATTGGAGCGGCGCTTCGCATCCCCTACGGCTTCTACTGCGAGTTGAGCAGAGCCTTTTTTACGGCGTAGGCGCCGGCGTAGGTGTCTGATACGTGGTCAGCATTCCCTTCCCAAAAGGAACACTGCTCAGTTGGAAGCCTGTCGCGATGTAACAAGAGACGCCTCGTATAGATGGCCCCGCGACTTCTCATCATCCCCACCGTTTACGGGCGTACAACCCACTGAGCCAGTTGCTTGGCTATTTGGCCACCTTGAAGAGTCTCGAATTCTTGTGGGCATGCTTTGCCGAGTGCTGTTCGCTGTTGGGTTCCCACACTGTTTCCGCATGAATTATGGCCGTCTCAGCCTGTTGCATTTCAACAGCCAGGCTTCAAAGCACCATTTAGAACTCAGCTGCATCTTTGGTGGACACTTTTGGATCTAAGATGAGCATCCCCCATATAGCCAGAGATGGCTGTGGCTCACAAATATGTACCCACATGGCACCTTGGCAAATGATTTTTGAACCAAAGGACCAACACCTGCGACTTGCCCCTTTAATTTTGAGCCACACCCAGATGCCCTCGAGGGTCCAAGCCACCCCCCGATGCCTTCAGAGGGATGGCCCTGGACGCGCCCCGCGGTCCGCGCTGCACGCCCCGCCGCGCTCCGAGGAATTCCTGGACGCGCTGATCCTGGGCCAGAGCTCCCCGGAGGAGGCCTACCGCCGCTTCGACGAGCTCTCTGCCAAGCACGTGGAGATGCTGCGGAAAGGCTGGGGGGGTCGGGGTCGGGGGGGGTTTGGGGGGATGCTGGGGTTAGGAGACTGCTCGGTGGGTCCCAGACATTTCCTTTGGCTTTTTGGACTTTTGGGGTGGATACTTTGAGAAGAGTTGAGCCGGGGTTGGTCCCTTTACTCTTTCAAAGGTGCTGGGAAACAGCTATTAGACACGCATGCGAATCATTCTGTGTTTTGTATATATGCACTATATGGGTATGCGCTACGTACATGAAATTATGCATACTGTATAGATCCACCAGGCTCATCACTGAGTAAGCCTAATTCCCTGAGGGAGCCTGAAGGTGCTTGCCTTGCATGTGGCGCTGAGAAGTGGGGTCACGCCAAGCCGTTGCTTGGCCAGGCACCAAAAACATCCAGGATGCGAGGAGGCAGCGTGACCAGGCTTTGGTCCGGCCCTCGGATGCCCTGTTTGAAGATTGCTCACAGGTATATATATATATATATATACATGGATCGCTGGATTTCCACACATGTGCAAATCTATCTCCTGACGAGCTGGCATAGAACCGCGACGAGGAGCCGGACGAACACTCACTCATAGAATTGTATTTGCATCTGCGTTGGCCAATGCACTGAATCTGATCAACTGGTGGTTTCTTGCTCTTGCTTCCGATTGTTTTAGAAAGTGGGTTATGCTGGCTGGTTGAGTCGCTTGCAAGGTTCAGTTGTTGCGTTTGAGTGGCACGGTGCCTTGAGCCAATGCTTTCCGACCCAGGTGAAGAAGTATTTGTCTGAGTTCGACGAAGCGCTTGCCAAGTACATTCCGGTGACCCGGCAAAACTTTGCAAGATTCCTTTTTCAGACACACCGCCATGGCGATGCGATTGCTTGGTGTTGGGATTGTTGAGCGGATTAGTCAAGGCGTATGGTGGCACAGCCCAGCTACGTGTTGTGCAGAAAGCAAACGCATATGCGTTGGTTCTCATCGAGGGACCATCAGTCGTGCAGTGATTGGTTTTGCTTCGCATGCGTCGCATGCCAGGTGCTGATGGGCCAGGCCAAGATCTACTGGGAGCTGGAGAACTACTCCATGGTGGCACCTTGGCCTAGTGTGGCCGGTCCGGATGCAGGCCGTAGCAAGCAAGTGCGGAGGCAAAGTTAGGGCCCTTTACCAATGGACCCTTCGTTGTTTGACCCTACTTGGCCCCTAAGCTAGTGGCATAAATTTAAAAGGGTACTGCTTTCTGATTGTGCTGAATGCCATGGAACGTTGGCTTCTATTTCGGGGCGGGTGGCAAGATTCTGGACATCCCTATGCCAGATGGTAGTGTGGTTCCCCACTCCTTACAGGTGACTGGATGGGCCCACCTGTTTTGGGGTTCCACCAAGAAACATGGGGAGTGTTTCTGAAAAATTGGGATTATGAGCTCCTTTTGCTTGGTAGATTTAACAGGAAGCCACAAGGAAACCAGTCCCATAGGGTCCATGGGACCTACGCCCCTCCCCTGCTGGCCCACCTGAGTTCAGGAGAAGATCTTCCGCCAGTCTGCGGAATTCTGCAGCGAGGACGAGTCCTGGAAGCTGACGCTCGGCGCGGAATCTCTCCGCTTTGGAACCGCTCCGCGCAAAGCGGGGCTTTGAGCCCAACAGAGGCAAGGAATTGGTAAAAAAGAGGGGCCTGGGGCCTCCAAAACGGCGAGTCCCTCGCATTTTGGTCATTGAGCGCATGTTGATTGAACATAGTGACGATTGAAGATGCGTGTACTTTCTCTTCTCTCGGCAGCGCACTGGCCGATTGCGCTTTCATCCAAACCGAAAGGTCATGACGTCACCCTGGGAGCTTTCTTGAGGCCCACAGGGTAGTGGCTTCTTTCGCGAGGGCTTCGGCGAAACTATGGCCCGCTTGGTGCAAGGAAGGTGCCAGGTCGGGAGGAAGCTGTGAGCCCTGACAGATGAGCAACCAGCACGTTTCCAGTTTAATATGGTTGTGCCCCCCTCATTTTGTGCCAAGATTTCGCTGCGCATGTAAGGAATGTCGCCCACATCTTCTTCATGCAGGAGAAGTTTAAGGAATGCATTCGGTACTACGAACCTTTCGTCCGCAAGCACAACGACGACTTGCTGAATGTAACTGCCATCATTTTGGCCAACCTGTGTGTCGCTTATGCAGCCTGGCAGATATGGTCTTGGCAAATTGGGTAGTCCAGCAGTAAAAGACGCACCGGTGCCTCTGCGCAGCTCAGGGTTGTCAAACAAAGTTTGGGACCTATGTTTCATGGCCAAAAGGGCCGCACGAAAATAATAATAACACAGGCCGCCTCCGGGCGTGCAGGCTTTCGTGGGTTGGTTTGCAGCCTAGGAATGACGAGGCTGTTTGGTGAGTTACTTTCATGGAATATTCTGGCAATTGAGGTCATGACCTCTGCCAACGAAGAAGCAGAAGAGCTGATGCGACTGGTGGAGAGGGAGGAGAGGTCTGATCATCAGCTGTCCCTTGCTTAGTTCTGAAGAGCAGCCTGTCACTAAAAAACCGACTTGTTCTAGTCTTGGCCTGTGGCCTTCCATTTCAAGCATTGGTTCGGACAGGCTTCCATTTTTTGGCCTGGGCTATGTGAGTTGCATCTGTTTCAGGCTCCATCCTTGAGGCTCTAAGGCTTTGTTGGCATGAATTTAATGCTTGGGCAGAAAGGGTTTCCCAAGATGGCCAGTGAGAGTTAGACTCGCGTCGGGATGGATCATGTCCAACCAGGGTAGCAGCAGCTTGCAGCTTTCAGCCTTGCTCTTGTCCTCCAGGAGGAGAAGGTGAAAGATCCTACGAAGCCCGCCGCATGGCTAGCTTTTGGGGCCTTTTGCCGGGCATGCGGCATGCTTCTTGGATAGCCTTGGTAAATGGCCAACAGTGTTCAGCTGAACTGCCACCAGGTCGCGTTTGTTTTTTTTTTGTGATTTTTGAAGGCCCCCTCCAGGCGCCTCCTCCCACGTGTTTGCAAACATTTGGATTACCTACTTTCGCGGAACGTCGCAGGAATTCCTACAGCAGTCTACTACATCTCTCCCCTTTGGTGTGACAATCCAAATGTTCAGCACCCTTTCTCCTGTGTCCCCTGCATATTCACCCACAGCTACAGGGGTTATCTCAGGATCCCTGCTGTTGTATTTTTGCCTGCGCCTCAGGTCTACCACCTTTGCATCATCAATCTTGCGCGGCTCCCGGACACCCAGGAAAACCGCCCCACCTGAGGTGAAGCGCCCACCCGTGAAGGCGCCGCGCACCAGAACTTGCGAGGAGTCAACTTTGGGAATGCTGAACGGGAATCATTTTTTGTTACAGGAGGCGGTACATCATTCGGGTGGCGTTGCAGCCAGGCGTACTCGTCGGCTTCACACGGCCAACCTGTTCCCATGTAACACAGGTGAAGCGCCGGCAGGCAAAGCATACATTGGAGCACAGATTTGGCATGGCGCTTCGCTGGCGCCGAAATGACTTCATTCCACTTTCGGGCATGGGACAGCTTCCGAAGCCCTGCCCTCGCTCAGGTCATTGGCACGCTGTACTGCACCAAGGGCAACTTTGAATTTGGAATTAGCAGAATAATCAAGTCCTTGGAAGCTCGCCTGCGCTTTCCGCGGAAATCGGTTGCAAGGGTTGTGCGTTTTGATGTGCCATGTATGCGCTTATGGTCCCCTAACAGGCAAGTTGCTGGTCAAGTTTTTTCCTCCACCGCAGCACACCAAAAGCGGTTCCCGTAGTGAGAAATCACTACTTTGCATTGAGCTCCGGCTCAAGGGCCAGGTGAGGTTCGAGTTGCTTGAGCGCTTTGCCAAGGAACCATATGACAAGAAGATCGGCGTAGACACCTGGCGCCCCATCAGCATTTGCTGGAGCTCAATGGCTCACGCACGTCTGTAACGGACAGTCAGGGTACGCATCCAAAGGAAAAGGGTTGTTTGCTGCCCAGGTCAAGTCATATTATGCTTTCATACCTCTCATGCAACACAAATCGATGGAACTCGCGCTTGTGGCAAAGCAAGTGAAGATATGGCAAGTTGCTTTCATCTAGTTTCCATTGCGTTCTTTAGCAGTTTTTGTTGATGCTGAAGAGACTCTTAAGTCTCAAGAGGTGTGCGTTCAGGGAGACCTTGGCGAGAAAGCACAGCTACAGCTTGGCACCAGCCGGTGCCTGCACCAACTGGGTTGAAACAAAGCCCCGGCAAGCGGGAGTTCAGAACTTGGTCTGTTTGCCAGGTTTAGCGGACGGCGCAACTGCCAATAGGAAAAGTCACACTTTGAGCACCTCTGGATGAAGCTTCATGTTCACATGCTCTAGGGCCGGGAATAGGAATAAGACATTCAATTCAATCTATCTATATACTTATATCTATATTTATCCCTAAATCTGTATCCATGATACACGCACGCGCGCGCACACACACACGCACATGCAACCAGATATGTGCGTATACAGCTAGTTGCGAATGCGTTTCACCTTGCAGGGGTTGGACTCCTATATCTCAGCAGGGGGCCATTTTCTCCACATTCTAGCCATGCAATCACTCACGCATTCGCATGTTCTTGTGATGAGGGTTTGGAGGCCTTTCAGGTTCACTACCCATTCGCCCTTCCAAGCCATTGCTGCCAAAGCAATGCAAAAGTGTTTGTCGGAGGTACTATGCCAAGAGGTGTATGCTTGCGCTGGCAGAGACCCTGGCAAAGAACATGGTCGTGCCCGGCACCCCAGGACCTTCTCCATGTCATTGATTCCGTTATTGGCCAAGCTCACAGAATCGAGCACCATTTCATCGGTTTCCGATTTCCATTTCAAACCCATGGAATTTCACAATGCATCTCAAAAGGACAGCCCTTAGCAAGGCACCTATGGCTTTTCTAGGTTCTGCATTGCAGGGCCTTTTGCAGGTGTTACAGAATTTCAGGGTTTGATTGTTGCGGCTTACCGGCAAAAAAAACATCATTTCATGGGGCATGTGAGCTCGCAACTGCCATGCGCGACTTCCACATTGCCAAGGCTCAACGACGAAGTCTTTGATGACATCATAGCCTTCCTCGACTCTGCTGATCAAGTCGGCAAAAACATCGGCACGACGATCAACGTCGTGGAGGCATATGTCACACCTGGCGAGGGTGTTTGGTCGCTGATCATCGGTTGTGGAAGAAACGGCTAGAGTTCTTTGTCGATTATGCTTTGCGTTTGGCTTATTCGCGATATGTAGATGCCCGCTTATGCCCGGTTCAATCACACGTAGCGAAATGGGGATGTGTCCGGTCCACTCGTGGGGGTCATTTGTTTACCCTGGCCATCAGACCTTGCAGCGCCACTGATCATGCGTAGTTTGATCAGCCCTTCGTCCCACCAGTCAGCGGGTTTGCACAATAGAAATGCATTCGGCCTCTTTCCTGTGCCTGCCGACCATGCAGAAGGCCTGAGAAGCGTCAGCCTCCCCGAGCCCCAGCAAATTCTGGGTTGGCAGCTTCCGGCCACTGGCAGGCGGCCAGCGAGGATGCTGCCAGCAAGCGCACTGTGTCCCAGGAGGCGAGAATGATCAAGCGCCACTTGGCCACCAGCCTCTCGCTCGTTTTTTGAAAGGTTTTGGGGGCTTGGCGCCCGGCACCCAAGGCCGGGGGTCCTTCATATTTGTGAGGGCGCACATGATTCCCATACGGCAAGCGCAGCTCATGCAGAATACAGCAACAGGAGCACCAACCGTCGCGCAACGAGCCCCTCGGCCAAAGAACTGGTTTTGTTTGACCCGAGGCTTCTTCCTGAAGCTCAGGGACTGATGCCTTTGCATGGCCTGGTCGAGTCCTGCGAGGACGATGCATTGGGAGGGAGCGCTATACGAACTCTCGGTTTTGCTGGGGGAGCTCCCCCTACACCCAATTTCCCACCTCAAAAAGGGGCATGAGCACATGTTGGAATCCAAGATGCGTGTTCTGGTGTTCCTCTCGTCATCTCTCGTCGAAGTGCATCCTTGCTGGCAAAGACCTGGCTTGGTAGAGGTCTATCTCACCCAGGTCCCACATTTCACCCGCTGGCGTCTCACCCCGGCAGCTTTGGTGGGCTGCCCATGCAGCGCCAAGACGTGCAAATGGGAACCGGATCAAACTTCTTGTTCGCCTAGGAGAAGTTAACCTTTGGCTGTTGGTCGACAAGCTTTTGGCCAACAAGAAACCTTCAGTTGCGCTTGAAACACCACCATCTTCAAACAGGACACAAGGGCCGTGTTGGCGTGACACCAATCACAACGGGCGGCGCAAATTCCATTGGAAGCGAATGCTGCCTGAGTGGGCGGACATGCACACCTGCACTCACCAAGCTGCTTGCTCACTCAGGCAGCATTCCGCATGGGCGGATCTGAAGGCCCGCTCTCCAGCGAATCTTGGACAGCACCTTTGACGAGCCCGTGGCCATGCCGAGCTATCACCTGCAAGCTCTGACGGGCTGTGTGCCTGGCAAAGCGCAGCCGGCACTTTCTTGGATTGGCAGCTGCGTAGAGGAACTCATGGCAATTTGCCCCTCTGCCCTCAACCGTGCAAACGTCGCTACACCATTTCAGTACTGGCCCCAGTCTTCTATATCAAAGTCACCCCCTAAGTGGCAGGTTAAAGGGAAACCACCCCAGTTTCCGACTTTGATAACCCCCTAGAAACAGCCAAAATCAGAACCCCTGCATTATCAATTCTTCTTTGGGACGAAATGGCTCGCCATTGCGGACTCGAGCCTGCCTCTGCATGTCGCATGAAAAGGCGTGGGCTGCAAGGGCCCGCTGAGAATTGATCGCATCATGTCAGACCCGATTCCTTTGTTCCAGTTGGTCCGAAGTCGCTGCCCAGGAAGGTTGGGTTTGTTCAGGGTTCAGGGTTGTACTGCACCACCTAGAGCACCATAGGAAGCCATTGCTCGTTGGCATTTACAGGGGAATCATCATTCCAGGGCTTCTCAGGTACAGGATTTCGTCCATCCACAGTGCCAATGCATCCCAATTCTGAGTTGGGAACGACCAGGGCCCTGAAAGTGCGGCAGCGCTTGGGCTGTCGAAGAGGCCCTGTAATCACGCATGCTTGAGCAATGGGCAAGGCCACTCGCCAGGCTGCAACTGATGCTGTGATTCTGTCACTGCACTGGGCGGTTTGTGCAGTGGGTCAATTATGGATTCCTTCATTTGCCTTTCCAATCCCAGCCACTTTTTGTCCCGTGATCCAAAAGCAAGGCCTTCCACCAGAATGTGGGCACCCTCCATAAGCTCTGTTTCCTGAATGCTGTGCCCTGCTTTTTGCAGTGCATCCAAGGGAAGGCCCCTGAGATCCCCACACCGTGGGTACCGGTTTGCGCCCAAGGACGATCCGCGGCCGGTGGTCTATGTGCCGGTGTTCGTGCCCCACAGGTGCAGGCGGATGGGCGGATGGGCGGATGGGCGGATGGGCGGATGGGCGGATGGGCGGATGGGCGGATGGGCGGATGGGCGGATGGGCGGTGCCGCGACTTTGGGGTGGCGCGACGTCCGTTCGAGTGGAGCAGGCACCTTGCGATCTCAATGGATTCAGATTGATTGTTTCCCCAAACCTTACTGGAATATTTGGTTTGGCTTGATGGATGAGAACTGACATATGATTTCATCACTGCCTTTCCAGTGACTGCTGATGTTCAATGAAGATGAAAAATGCAACAGGAGCCTGCTGGCTTGCTGGAGCAACTTGACGCTGACGCCGATACTTGCGAGCTGTTTGATGCGTGTCAAACTTGTTCTGTATCTGTATCTGTATCTGTTAATTATAGGCGCGAGCCAAGGCTTTCGCTGTGACGTTATTTTGCTCAGGAGCTAACATATGCCTTCAGTTTACATTCCAGCACGAGAGGTTGAGCCGTTCTGCAAGAGTTTTGGGAGTCTCTGGGAGGTTCCTCGCATAAGCCCTGGATTGCCCTTTCAAGGAATCGATCCTTTCAGCGACCTCCTCGTGAATAACCCCTGGGTGTGTCATGCGGGCATCGTGGCATCGCGCTAGGAACTGTGGGCACGAGTGTCAGCCTGACCTCGAGGAGGGGAATGGAACGCGGTTCGCAGGGACGCATCCAGGGCAACCTGGGCAAGGATAGCAAGGCCGCCAGGCAAGTGCCCATGGTGCCCGTTGTCTTTTTTTGGAGGGAGCTCCCTAATTTGCCAGACAAGGTGATCTTTTCCAAAGGCCACTGGAGGTTTTGGCAAAGATCAATGCGACCCTGTCGGTGCTATTAGCTACCATTGGGATTGGGGAACTGTTTGGAGATCGCTAGAAAACCATGTGCATGTATTTATCATCCCGCTGGCTGGTCCTGGGTTGTCAACCTCCAGCAGGGTCCAGAGGTCGAACATTTAGTTGAGAGCTCGTACGCCCAACGCAGTATTTCTACCTTTTCCCACTTGGTATGACTTGTTTCCAAGCGCCTCCCACCGCTGCCAGGAGAGCATCCCACGAAATGCATGGCGCGAGGGGGGTGGGTGGAGTTGGATGGATGACGCTTTCCGATGGCTCTCACGTTCCAGTTGCCAGTGCCACTTTAGTTGTTTTCCGCAACTGGGGCTGGTAGCCAGCCGCTAAACCAGAGCGACCCAAGGACATATCGATCTGCCCTGGATTTCAATATGTTACCCGCAATGGCAACAGGGGGGGAGCAGGGGCCTAGTGGGAGGCGCACAGCGAGTCAAGGGATTTGTTACCAGTCAGGGTTTCTGGCGACCAGCTGCTGGCATGCGTTGTGGCGATTTCAGCTGGGGCTCAAGCTTGGGGGCGCTCGGCGCATGAGCGCTGATGGCGTCCCTTGCTTGCATAATTTAGGGGAGGGTGGCGGGACCACTGCTAGAGATGTCACTTGCGTTTCGCAAAAGCTGTGTTGCTGTGTGCCAAAATGGGGCTCTACGCAGCGAGTGGTTGTGTTTCTGTTATGTGTTCTTGGCTAAGCATCCGGAAAGAGGTGCCCAGGATTGAACAGTGTTGTGTGCCAGCCGCAGGGCTGAAGCCAGAACCTTCCTGAAACCGGGCTTAGGGGAGCCAAAGTCCCTGAAGCTTTTGGTTGAGTTGAGTTCTGGAGGGTGCCATGGTTGACGCCGCTGGACAGATGCCTCCTGAGGAAGTCCAAGCACCTTTTCGTGTTGGGCGCCCACGTGAGATCCGTCGCCTTGGGCTTGTGACCTCTGAGGCTCTCCAGCCTGAGCTCTGGCTTGGCCTCGCAGCGGCTCTTTTGGGCCCTGCGGCCTTGTAAGGAGCTGGCGGGTCGAGTGTGCCAAGACAGTGCGAAACCCGGATCCTTGCCAGTATCCAAGCTTGTAGGTACCTTCGCCAGAGAGTTTACCAGAGTTAAAACTATACAAAACCCATGGCGTTTGCAGGCAAACGAGGCTGGAAGAGGAGCAGCTGGGATGCAGACACCCCCAACCCCCCAACCACTGGCTTGGGCGGATCCGGGGTCTACATAGGGCCGTTGGGAAGATCCGTCCGCTCGGCTCGGCCGCAGGGGCTCTTCGCGAGATCCATCTCGGAGCCAATGACTAGTGTGGGGGCCGCTCAGATTGGGAGAGGTCTTGGAGAACGCAGGAAGGCTGCGGGGTCTGCGTTTGTTTGTCCCCGCCAAACAGTTCCATCAGTCAAAAGTTTCCCTTCAGTGGGTGGGCTTGGGTTGGGGTTCTATCAGTCCTGGTTCCCACAAAAGTCTACAAGGCTGATTTTGCTACCTTTGCTTCCCAAGAGAAAATATCATACATACTATACTCTTCTTCTTCCACGATGGAACTGTTGGCGACAGCTCTCAAGCCGGCCGCCTTGCAAGAAATTCTTCCAAGTATGACTCCTGCAGAGACTCCCGTTGCAGGCCTCAGAGTGCAGTGAACTGCCCGGCCCTATGACAGCATGCTGCTGGATCTTCGCCCAACACAAGCGGCATGTTCTTGAGCGGGTCTCTAGAAGGACCAGCGCAAAGTGTCTTTGGATCTCTTCAGGATCTCTGCGCAAGATCTCTTGCATACTCTCTTGGCAAGATCTGCGCGCATGACCTCTGGCATGATCTCTTGGGAAGATCTCTGGGCAAGATTCGTGCACTGAATTCTTGGGTCTGCGCGGGACATATCGTGAGGATCCTCTCTACGCAGCGCCAGCACAAAATGCCTATGGGAGAATCTTTGCAGGATCTCCGGGCAAGAGGTTCGGGAAGGGTCTCTTGGCAAGATCTGCTTGCAGCGAGAGGATTTTATACCCAGTTTTGCTGTTCAAGATCTGTAGGGAGCATCTTCTAAAGCAACACCTGGAGGATTTTCACTGGATCTCTTCGCAAGATCTCTTGATAGGATCTCTTGGCAATATCTGTGCGCAGGATCTCTGGGTAGGATCTCTTAGTAGGATCTCTCGGCAGGCTTTGCAGGTCCTGCACTTAGATGTTTGCGCCGCGCCGCAGCGAGAACAAAGTTCGCGCAACATGCCGGCCCTCCCAATCGATGCTCAAAACTCGCACCGCACACCAGCGGGAGCGATCCGACCCGCCAACTAGACCACGGTTGGCCCGAAAGCAGAACATCGCAAGCGAGGTCGGCCCAACGCTGCAGGATGCGTTCTTTTTCCCTACGCGAAGCATTCGTGAAGCAAGCGCGAGACAGCACCAGGCAAGGTGCTCTGTGCAAGTTGCTCTGCGTAAGTTGCTCTGCGCAAGTTGCTCTGCGCAAGTTGCTCTAGGCAAGGCGCTCTGCGCAAACTGGTCGGTGCAAGTTGGTCTGCGCAAGTTGCTCTGTGCAACTTGCTCTGCGCAAGTTGCTCTGCGCAAGTTGCTTTAAAATGCAAGTTGCATCTTGCGACGCCCGCCCGCGGACCAGGGAGGAATCGAACCCGCGACCCGCCGGTTCCGGGAGCAGGCGCGCGAACCACGAGACAACTCCCGAGGACCAGTTCGAACAACAAAAGTCGCAAAAAACCTCGAGTTTTTGCACCTCGACCACGCCGATCCCCGCAGAGGGTCGCGAGCAGAAATCGCAAAAAACCATGGGTTTTTGCACCTCGACCACGCCGATCCCCGCAGAGGGTCGCGCGAGCACCGCAGAAATCGCAAAAAACCATGGGTTTTTGCACCTCGACCACGCCGATCCCCGCAGAGGGTTGCGCGAGCACCGCAGAAATCGCAAAAAACCATGGGTTTTTGCACCTCGACCACGCCGATCCCCGCAGAGGGTCGCGCGGGAACTTTAGAAATCGCAAAAAACCTGAGTTTTTGCACCTCGACCACGCCGATCCCCGCAGAGGGTCGCGCGGGAACTTTAGAAATCGCAAAAAACCATGGGTTTTTGCACCTCGACCACGCCGATCCCCGCAGAGGGTCGATTTTCGTGTAGTGTCGTCGGCACTACCCCGCCGCCCTAAGAAGAGATTTTAACTCCTCGCAAGTCAATTGCACTTGACTCCTTGCACTTGCAACTTGCACTTGACTCCTTGCTTGTTTCAAGGAGTCATTGCAAGGAGTCATTGCAAGGAGTCATTGCAAGGAGTCATGGCAAGGAGTCATTGCAAGGAGTCATTGCAAGGAGTCATTGCAAGGAGTCATTGCAAGGAGTCATTGCAAGGAGTCATGAGAGCCATTGCAAGTTGCAAGGAGCCAAGTGCATGGAGTCAAGTGCAAGTCGCAAGTGCACGGAGTTAAGTGCAAGTTGCAAGTGCAAGGGGCCAAGTGCAAGGAGCCAAGTGCAAGGAGTGCATGGAGTCAAGTGCAAGTTGCAAGTGCATGGAGTCAAGTGCAAGTTGCAAGTGCATGGAGTCAAGTGCAAGTTGCAATTGCAAGGAGTCAAGTGCAAGTTGCAATCCTTGCCAGACTCCTTGCAATGACTCCTTGCAATGACTCCTTGCAATGACTCCTTGCAATGACTCCTTGCAATGAATGACTCCTTGCAATGACTCCTTGCAATGACTCCTTGCAATGACTCCTTGCAATGACTCCTTGCAATGACTCCTTGCAATGACTCCTTGCAATGACTCCTTGCATGACTCCTTGCCATGACTCCTTGCAATGACTCCTTGCCATGACTCCTTGCAATGACTCCTTGCAATGACTCCTTGCAATGACTCCTTGCAATGACTCCTTGCAATGACTCCTTGCAATGACTTTCATGATGATGATTCCTTGCAATGACTCCTTGCAATGACTCCTTGCAATGACTTTCATGATGCTGATTCCTTGCAATGACACCTTGTAATGACTCTCATGAGAACAACTCAAGTGAACCCAGCGGAAGAACCCTTCGCCATGTTTTCGGGAAAAAAAGCAGAGGGTTGACTTTCAACTTTCAACATGTGCATCTCATCACAGCCACCGCGACTCAACACACCCAATGTCCGCGGAGGGTTGGTTTCCATGTTCCAAATTCGCCCCTCGCCACAGCGAGGGCGACCCAACGCGCCCAAGCTCACGAATTTGGACTTCGCATGGCACCGCAGCGAGGGCCGACTCTGGAAAAAAACAAAATTCGTCCCACACTTTGTGGGAGCCCGCCATCGAAACACACATGGACATCTCACAAGAAAAGTTTCGCGCGAGCCTACGCGGCCGAATAGCGCCCAAAGAGAGAACACCCTGATTGCCCCGGCCTTTCTGCTCTTACCTTAGTGTAGACACAGTGTTCGGGAATACAAGTCGCTGATCCGCCGTGTGGCCAGGTGTTGATTGAAGCCCCGGCAGCAAGCACCGAATGGCAAGGCCCACGGGATGTCACGGGCCATGTGTTGGCGGCTGCTTCCTGGTTTCACTTGGTTCTGGCCTGCGCCCCCTGAATGTCTTCTCTCTAGTTGCCAAGACAGATTCTGTCCTTACGAGCATCACGGGCGCTGGCCGCTTTGACGCATCGCTGCGTCAACCATACGATGTTAGGAGGCATCACTTGCAGAGAGTTGCAGGCTCAAGAAGCGAGAATTTTCAAGCAAGCCGGGGACGTTTCAGGATTTGTTCCAGAACATGCCACCCTACTGAACAATCATGACTCACTCTCAACTTAATTCAGCTGAAAGCTGGAAGGCCCATTAGCTCCCATTAGGTTTTTCCACAGCTGCCAAAGAAGGCTGGTCAAAGGTGGCTGTTACTAAATATTACCAGATAGGTTTAGCTAAATTTGGTTGGGTGTTCTGTCCGCCTCTCACATTCGGGTATGCCCGTAGGCGATCCAACCGAGCCCTGGGAGAGCCTGCTGCCAATGGACGAGTCAACCGGAGGCCGGATGAGCAAATGGCGGCCCAGAATGCAGCATCCCTACAAGATTCCATTGCTCTGTGCGGAGAGTAAGTCCAACAGCGGTTTTGAAACCGTGCTTTTGAGAACGGTCCTTGTTTCTAGGACGATGTTTCTTATTGTTGAAGGTTTGTTTGATTTCACGCTACTTTCAGGATCGTTCATTGGAGTCCAACAAAGTATTGTCAATGAGGAATTCTTGTCGCCATATATGTTTGAGAAGGATAGCCTTTACAATGCTGAAATAGCGAGAGTGGAACTTTCGGCTACGCGCCGATGCGCTGCAACACGTTGCGAACTATAGACATACTCAACAACATACACTCTTTCATTAGCTAGCCGAGTTCAGAGGTCAGTTCAGCTGTGATCCTGTTTGCAGCACGGTATGATTCAGGGCATGCTGCTTGTTACAAGGTGCCAATACCCTTTGTGTTTGTGCTTCCTGCATTTGGGTAGTGGTTGCTTTCATTTTCTTTGGCCTTTTAACCCCCTCTCGCCTGTTTTGTCGCATATTTGGGCGAATGGGCTTTTGCAGGGGGCTGAGTGTGGAAAGCCGACCCGTCAACACTGATCTTTTGCCATCGAAGGGATGCTTCTTTGGCAGGAACATTTGGACACGCACTATTCCCCGCATGACTTCCACACTCCAAGTCCCGCCCTCCCAAATTTCCCCTGTTTTCTGATGTGTTTCCCGCACTTAGCACACAGTGCTTTGGGTGCACTCATAGATTCAGTTCGTGGCTTCCTTCTGCCCAGAGCTTGGCAGGACCGATGCTTTGCCGATATCGGAAGAAGCACCAAAAGAGCACCCAACTGGAGGCGGGGAGAGTTTTTTGCGAATTGCGCGGCGCAGAAGGGGGTTGGTTGCGTGGGTTGATCCTCTTTCGGGTCGATGTTGTAAGTAACTGGTAAATCTTGATTACTCTTGGGTGCTGAGTAACTAGAATGGGAGTTGTCGGGGTACTTTAAAGCACACATTAGACCAGGACCATCGGAGCAACATGCCAGAAATTATTGATGTTATGCTAAAATTATTGTTAGAGGCTTCTTGTCGGACATAGGATGGTTTGGAAGCTTCGTGTAAGCTGCAGGGCTCTGAAGAGGTCATGTTCTTTCGTACTCAAAAGAAGCCAGGGCGTTGCCTGCTGTGAGCATTGCCCGACGGAAGTTGTTGCATTCTGTGTCCAGCTTGGTTCTCTCAGTGTTTGCTGCCATTGTTGCGCCGTCAGTTCTGAATGGGTACAGTCGTTTGAGATGTTCTGGAGTGCTTGCTTGCACTTAGACATGGCGATCATTGCTAGCAAAGACTTGCTGCCAGTCCCATTTTTTTCGTACTTCAGTGACTGCCCATCACTCACCTTTGCGTAGCATCAAAGTCCATTTGTTTGCATAATAAGCAAGCATGCAAGCTTCCTTCGCGAGTTGTTTCACGCATGCCTTGCCAGTCAGGATGCATTGCTACCAAGGGCAACTGGCATTTGAGAGAAGGAATCTGGAGATAATGCATGTGAGATTTCCAGGAGTTACATGACATGCCAAACACTACGTAAGCATTCTGAATGAATGGTTGCAAACATCCAGAATTAGGACGTCTTGGATAGAGAGAAATGAATAGTTGCAAACGCATTGTGGCATCCTATTTGATATTTATTATGTTATTTGATCATATTATGAATGTTCCTTGATTTTCCTATGCTTAGTCTGCGCTTCCTGCTGGAGTCATGGCAGCTGCTACGTCCATGCCCGGAAAGCGGCCAGCACTCACCCCAAAACTGAGTGCCAAAGTGTTCGGTGAGTGCTACTGGGAGGTCAAGGAGCTGGCTGCGTTCTGCCGGCATCAGGGTCTGCCCGCCAGTGGGCTGAAGGCTGACCTTACCAAGCGGGTGAAGGACTTCCTGGGCGGAAAGCGCCCCAAAGCCTCCTCCGCAAAGGTGACGAAGGCGGCCCGCGACAGCGTCGCGGTTGGCGGCCTGAAGCTGAGCACCCCAGTGCGGAATTACAACAGCGACCAGGCCACCCGCGGCTTTTTCCAGAAGCACTGCGGCGAGGGCTTCCGCTTCAACGAGTATCTGCGCGGCTTTGCGAAGGGGGCGCAAGAGGGACTGACGTACAGAGATCTGGTGAAGGGCTGGAAGGATGCGGAGCAGAAGCGGCGAGAAGGCCAGCAAGCGATCGGGAAGCAATTTGAATACAACCAATTCACACGAGACTTCTTTGCCGCCAAGCCCGGAGCTTCTCGTGCTGACATGATGGAGGCCTGGAGGACTGTCCGCAGTTATCGGGGGCCCAACACCTACAAGGAGTTCCGCAAGTTGTCCAAGTGAAATGACAAGTTGTTCCATGGTTTTCCAGGCAGCCGGCAGGGGAAGTCAGCCAACAGGCTTCCTTGATGACTTATCCTGGCTGAGTGCGTTGCACGCGAGCATTGCCACCAAGTGCAGCTGGCATTTGGTTCCTGCCCGTCCCTGCCCAGCCAATGTGACTCGCCCTACTGTCGACTATGTTTCCTTGCAACCAGGCAAGACGTGCGCAGTTTTGCGGTTGGCCTTGTCCCTCCGCCATGCCTGAAGGCGTGCTTGAAAGGGCGGCAATGAATCGAAGCTGAAACGGACGTGCGAAAGGCACTTGTCGACAAAGAAAAGGTCAGCTGCCTCGATTTTCTGGCAACCTGATACTCCCGCCCTCCTTCCTTCAAGTATCAGAAGCCGTGGGTGTTGCACATTCCCTGCATGCAGGAGAGGTGGTGGTTGGAGTACGACCCGCCCAAAGCCAACTACATCAGTGGACAAGGACGAGGGCCACACGGCGCGGGGCCAAGAAGTCGGGGCCAAGAGATGCTTGGGATTTGGTGAGCGCATGAGAATGTTGGAATTTAGGGGTTGGGTTGCCACCGTAGTCAGAGGATTCCAAAACTTTGGTACGCAAAGCCTGCCATGGTGTTTGGGTGTTTGGGAGGTGGCCGGCGCGTTGAAAGCTGGTTCTTGCTGCAGGCAGCATGCGGAACCACCCCCTCCAACCCATCAAAGCACTTGGGTTCAGGCGTTCCAGATACAGTCTGACATTTGTGTTGCGCAAGGCAGCATTTTAAGAAGCAACCGCCATGTTTCGCATGTTTTGGACGACCAGCTGGAAACATTGTGCGCGCACTGGTGCCTAGAGAAATCGAAAGGTGGATGCTCCGAGTGTTTAATCGCGTTCCTCCTCCGCCTCCTCCGCCTCCTCCGCCTCCGTTGAGCCACATGGACCCCCTTGGTACTAATTTTGAGAGGGAGCCAAGATGCAGTCCACCATTTGGAGGGTCCCCGGTGCTGCCACCTGACAATTTAGCAGTTTAGGCAAGGGGTTGACATCTTGGCAGAGGGCGCGCTGCGACAGGTGGCAACAGCATCCCGAAGCAAAACTGGCCTCGGCAAATGGTGCCCATCGAGTACAAGAAGATGCCTGGCTAAGGGAGAATTGCCTTGAGTTGACAATTGTTCATGGTCCTGGATGGCGTATGGTTTACGTTTTTTTTTTTTGTTGGGGGGGGGTTGTTCAAGCACAACGCCTGCTAAAGCAAATGTGGTTGGCATACTGTAAGTACTGCGTTTCTTCAAGGAATCAACTGCTCATTGCTAGAAACAAACAAGCACACGCCTCATCTTCAGCGGTATCTCTGCGGTTGGACACTTTTGGGTTTAAGCAGGACCTCCCCTGAGTGTGCCATGAGTGTGCCAATGGGTCCAACACTGTCTGGAATGCCTAGGGTGGGGGGTCACTTGACTTGCATGAGCAGCTCCCCTGTCCTGGCCCCATTCAGAAAGGGATCCATGACATGCTGCCTATTCGTAGCCATGCAGGGCCATGCATGTTGCTTGGTTGATCCTTCTGTTTGCTGGCTGATGCAGCCTGGGAGGAGGGTTCCACCGTTGTTTCATGGCACTGGCAAGTTGGCGTGCGCATGTTTGTTTATGTCATGAAATCAGCCCTTCTGGCTGTGACTCGTTTGGAAACTCAGTCTGCTTGTGGAGCACTGCCAGTCAGGCCAAACATGCTAGAGGCCGCGTTTTGGAGCAGAAGAGCTGAATTCGATCTGGGCAACCGTTCGGCTCGGGCCAGTCGGCCCCGGCTTGTCACTGGCCTCAGCCTTGTTCAATCTGGCAGCCACTTGTTTGATGGCTTGAAGCTTCTGAATCTGAATGTCTAGCACCCAAGTAGAAAGGCGACTCTCACAAAGTCAAGACCCTTCGCCACAGTCCAAACTTAGAACCGATCAGGAATCAGCAGCGTGGTTTGTGCGGACCGCCCGCTTCCTTTGCAGTTGTGGTTCCCCCACTTCCCTGGGCGTGGGTTCAGATTGTCTGACGGCCTCTCAGGAAGTGGGAAAAGCGTGAGAGGCTGCGCTACGCCTTCCGCAAGCACGGATACGAACTTGATGTGCCAAAGCTGGGCGGGTAGGGTTGGGCAATTCGATCACAGCCCGGAACATCCCTCTGACGTTCGAGCGTCGGCCGAGACTCACTTTCACCTTGTAAGGCATTTGCCCATTGTAGGCAGATGTAGGCATTTCCACGAGGAAAAAACTGGTTTTTGCCTTTCAACCCTTCCCTCAGCACATTTTCGGCGCGCGGCTGAGCAGAAAAAGGTACTTGCTTGCTTCACTGTTTGCAGTGGGATCGGTGGTGTGAGTTATGGCTGCGACGGAGGACACCAGGTGATGAAAACAAACAGATCGTCGGCCCTGAGTTTGAACGACACCCCTGCATGTGGTATCAGGTCATAGCCTATTGCATGGATGAATGTACGAAGGTGCACCCTGATCATGCTGTCGCAAGAATTGCTGGTTGATTGGGTTGGGCAAGACTCCGGGATTTTGTGGACCATTGACGCAACAGTTGCGAAATTGAACATGCAGCTTAGATGGTCTCGAGCTTTGCTACCCTGTCAAGCTAGAACTAATCCCAAGCCCATTGATGCCAGCCCAGGCTGAAAGACAGGCTGCTCGCTTGAGCCCGTAGCCAAACCATCCACCCCGCAACCAGTTCACATGTGCAGTGAACCCACGCACGAGGCACACTGACCGATCAGACTTGACCAGGGAGTTAGATTCTTGGCATTGCAATCACCTGGTCCGAGAGCAGCAACGCCTGTTTGAATCCACGAAGCAATCCATGAGCAATTGTTGTGGTTTCGCCGGGTTACAGCCCCTCACAGCCATTTTTCGAGAGCAGTTTTGACTAGGACCGTTGATTGGATGCTCCGCTTGACTTGGTGAAGTTGATAGCTCCAAGCTGCGTGAGCCATGGCTTAACCTCTGCTTTCGATGATTCGTCTTTGGGCCGCTTCAGCCGCCATCGGCGGCGCCGCCCGGTCAATGTATGACCTGGCCCTGGTGGCCATTTTCAAGCACCTCGAACAGAAGGGAGTGCGGACATGTTCAAGCACCCTCGGAAATAATGGGATTGCAGGAGCGGGGGTGGCCCGCACGTATTTTGCTCACCCTTTTTGGGAAGACTGGAAACTGGAATCGGGGACTCGCCCACTCTTTCCCCCCTTTAAGGTGGGTTGCATTGATGTGGATTGTTTGACGGAAGTTGCCGCCTGGATTGCCACACAGAAGGCAGGGGGAGGTCGGGTTCGACCCGTTTGGTCGCAAATGGTTGACTTTTCTTGGGGTCGCCGCTGGAATTGTTTGGAAGTTGTTTCACAAGTTAGACCCGTATCCCCTTTGCTGATCCGTGTTGAGTGAAAGCTGGCATGAAAGCAAGCATTTGGAGGAGCACCCTATTCAGTGAGACAGGGAAAGGACTGCGTGTAGAAAAAGACTTGAGTGCCTTACCAACCTTTTGTACATGGGCCATGTGCTGTAGGGGATGGTGGCCTTAGACTGCCCTTTTGATGTTCATTTTTTAGTGGGGATGGACGTCTTTTGCCGGACCAATGCAGTCTGTAGCTTCGGGAATCTTGCTCCTAGCGTGCGCTGTATGGAGTTGGGAAGAGCCATCGCAACACGTTGCTTTCCAAAGATGTCACGGGAGTTGTTTTGAAGAGTCATTTGGCTGTGTCTTCTTAGGGACCTCCCCCCAATAATAAGAAGAAAAAAAACGGAAGAACACAAATATAATAATCAACAAATAGAATAGAGTGGTTTCGTATTGGTTTCCCTTCCAAAGCACAAAACAACACCCTCAAGAAAAGACAGACTTCAGGCCCCGCGGTTGCATCGCCGAGGGATGAAGCTCTCTCTTTGGTGGAATGGCTGGACCACTACCTCAGAGAAGGCGTCCAGCAATTTTATCTTATCGAAGCCCAGCCGCGCTTCAGGGCATTTGTCAGCCAGGGCCAGTGAACAGTCTGACAGTGCCCAAATGGCCGCGTTCCGCGCACGAGCGCCAAACATGTGAGAGCATCTCAACAAAGGGCCCCATCCAAGTTGGCGAGAAAAATCCAAGGGGTGAATTGGCTTGTTTCGGGCTTTGGGGCAGGAAGTAAGCTTGCACCCGACTCTACGCCACGTTTTTTCGGAGCAAGGACCACAACAGCTCGGATGTCAAGGCATATAACCAGCGCTTGAGTCCCTACGTTGAGCAGGGCCACGTGCAGATTTTCTGGAGCTCAACGCCAAACTGCCAGATCGACTGCTACAACAGCCACTTGACCCAGCATGCAGTTTTTGTTGTGAGCAAAGTGGCATTGCTGTGGAGTTTGTTTGCTACCGGCTTGTATTTGAGATTCGGGCGATTGCAAGTTCCTTGTTTTGTCCTCCCCCCATTCTCTTGCACTTCCTTATTCTCCTGCTGATCTTGGGCCTGCGCCCACCAGCGTGCATGTTCGCAGTGCCCCCCCCCAACCCCGAAACGCCGACACGCTGCATGGGCGCTGGAGGCGTGAAGTGGAAAGTGCGGGGGGAGGCCAAGTGGGTCATCGAGCCTCAGCTGAAAGCGGGCAGAAAGGGATTGGACGGCGTGGTAGTTTGGACGGCCAGGGACTTGGGCTTGGCTCCCAGCCATCCCCTTAGCTTTTTAGCCCGTTAGTGTTTAGTGGTAGTTTCCATTTAACCCACTAACTGTTAAACTTTTAGTGGGGATCTGAGGGCAGCCCAGTTTTCTATAAGCAGTCTGCACCGGGAAGTATCGGCAAAAACGTGGGCCATGTTCAGCGCTCGGTTCTACACCGTGCTTGTGGCTGCGGCAATAGGTGGTGGACCTAGATGAGTATGTGTACAGCCGGCCCGTCAAGGGATTTCACACCATTGCCTCGTACTTGGCATCGGTGGAGAGCCACTTGACTGGGATTAGTTTGGAGGCGTGGGCAAGCTTCATTGAAGTTGTCCTGTTGTTCCAGTTGGCTCGTGTCACGTAGTGCTTCTCTTGCCTTAGCTGCGAGAGGGTCTGAAAGGTGGGACTCCGCTTGGAACACGCCTGCATGAGTACTGCCAGCCTGTGGGAAATTGGCATAGTTGAAATGCTTTGTCAACGGCCGTTGTTGTTCAGTGAATTTTCTGCAGGAAGAAAGCAGCGCTCCCAAGGTTCTGTAGATCAGATCATCCTGCAGCCTGGCTGCAATCCGATGAATTCTAATGGTGGGTGCATCCGATGCCTTATCAGGTCCGATCGGTCAGTGTACCGATGCTTGGCTTCCTGTTGCGAAATCCGCTTGCGATGTTTGATTGCTCCAAACTTGTTTTTTGGAGGGGGCGCACATCACATGGTTGGTACTGGCCACTTTGGTGGCCCTCATGAGTTGCCACTCATGCGTGCTAGCTGGAGCCTCTCTTGCTTTAGCAAGTACTGGGGCCAGTGGCCCCCACAACGATTAATATGTTTTTTTGTGCGCGACCTCGTGTTATGCGCAATGCCTGATGAGGACGCAGGCTGTTCCAGTGCTTTGCCCACTTTTCTTTGGTTCCTCCCCTGTCAGCCCCAAAAAGTCAGCCAAAGCTGCGCGTCGACGCTAGCTTCGTTTGCCCCTTTGCCTCCCCGGGCCTCAAGTTCCGGTTGTTGCTTCGTAGCCTTCAATTGCTGCCATCAAGCCCGCGTCGTGCGCTTCACTGGCATCCGTCACAGGCCCTCCAAGAACTTTGGCTCATCCAGCCACCTGGCGCAGCCGCCCACACTTGTGGCCGCTTTGCTGCACGTGCACCCCAGCCCAAGCTTGCCTCTGGCAGTCTCACTGAAGATGGAGGGAAACCCAAGCTCAACCAAGGATCGATTACATTCCAGAAAGCGAGCCTTGAGGGGTGTTTGTTATTTATACGTATGAACTACAATGCTCAAGTTGCGATTAAGCGAGTTCCAAAACAGCACCCAATTTACTAAACCAGACCAAGCAATTCTTTCGAAAAATAAGAGCAGCCAAGTCCTGAAGTACATGTTGGGCATGCTTGAAAGGCCTCCCGTGCGCAAGGTGTTTTCAGATCGCGCCATTTTTTGGCATATTTTTCCCCTGAAGCATTCTCCAGGCATCGGATGCTGCAAAGGAGTTGTTTGCACTTTTTGCCGCTGATGAATTGATTAAGGGCATGTGCCTTCACTCGCAGTTGGCAGAGGCAGGGCGCTTGTAAGCCAACAATGCCCTGATTCTTGAAATCTAAACAGCAGTGGCCAAATAGCACAAAATAGCCACTAATATGGGTAATGCCAGTGAAGCAGATTGGGGTGGAAGTTGTTGTTTTGTTGTTTTTGTCAGGGGGTGGTGTGCCTTTTGGGTGATGGGGTCAGTAACCCCCATTTCCTAGCCCGGGCAGTATCCCGAGCACGTGATTTTGTTCCATGTTCATGTAGCAACATTCATATCTCCAAATAGTCGCACAGCCATGTGCTAGGGTGGATACTTGTTGTCGGAGAGGCATTACTCAGAACTCATAAGCCGAACAAGTCTAAAACCGGTCTTGACATGCTAGCCATGTATGGAAACGCATTTAGACATGTACTTCAAATATGCTAGCAAGTATGATGGGATTGTGCAAAGGAACGCCCTACAGCTAAGGACACAAGCTAGAGGCGTAGCGAGATTGCTCAGAGATTGCCCGGAGATCGTGCAGTAAGATTGCATGAGCCTGAAGCAGCTAAGCAGTACAAAGCCGCAAAACGACAAAAGCCTGCTCAGACCCGCCTAATGGTTACATGGCGCCCATTCGGCCACTGAAAAATGCCGATGCAACTCAGAACCAGCTGAGGCACATTTCTTGAAGCGCCAGAGGTTCCCTGAGAAGATTTGCGGGCAAGACAAGGCCGGTACGAAGGCCATCCTTAGAGCCCTGGGCATGACATAGGGTGACCAGGGCGCCAGGGACAGGTGGGTGGGCAGGTGTTGTATGGTGTGTTTGTTTGTGTTTGGTTGACATTGCTGTTCAGCTTTTGTTAAGGCCACTGGAAGTTTTGTTTGGTGAGGCCACTGGAAGTTTCAGGGTTCTACTTTTTGGCTACCCCAGGGTAGACTTAAACCCAGGGGTGGTTCATTCCCCCCCAAAGGAGAACCCCTGGGTTTAAGTCTATCTTGGGGTAGCCAAGAAGTGGAACCCTGGGAAGTTTTGTTTGGTGAACAGGACAAAGGAGTGGTGGGAACCGGGAACCAGGGGAATTGATTGTTGCTGGGGCAATTCCCGCTTTGACCCACAAATTTGCTGACGGGAAGCTTAAGGACAGTAGTGGAACAAGTGCAGTGAATTGTTGTGCCAGCCCCGTATGATTGCTTGCAGCATTTGACTTGCTCTCCCTGGGCACGCGCCCAGAAAGAACCAGACAGTTGGGGATGTTTGTTGGCTGGGTGCAGAGCGCTTGGAAACTCAATGGCCCAAGAGGGCTTGTCGATTGTCAGTGCCATGATGAGCTGACTGCTCTGTGTGTGTGTGGGTGGGCAGGCGGGCTCATAGACGCATGGCTGCCCGGCCATAATACAATTCAGCATGTCGCTTTTGCAGAATGGCTGTGGTATGTCTTCTCTGGTGCTGTTCATGGTTTGTGGCAATTTGGCTAAAGTGCGGCCTGTGTGCCCTGCACAGTCACAGTGCATTCGCGCATCAAGCAACAGTATGAACAACAATACACGCACGCACAAACTCGCACCCACGCACCCACCCGCCCGCCCGCCCGCCCGCCCGCTTTTGGGGCCAGGATGAGGGAACATGGTGTTGCGCCATCTTTAGTTGTTAGCGTGAGTGTCTTGCCACCTTAGATTGCCTCAACACGACCATGGGTGGTTGCTGACCCCACGAGCTTCAGGAACGTCTACTCTCCGGGATTTTCGGATACACCGACACACCACAAGACCGGGGCTGGGGGCCGGGGCCGAACTGACTGTTACAGACTTGAGCTTGTGAGGGGTGGCGCAATTGAACACTTGGCCATACTCTTGCGGCCTGAGCCTACGCAAAACATGTGGCATTTATAGATTGTCTGTGTGCTACATTCACATTGTGCACTTTGCTCCACCGGCAGCGTTTTGGACTGACGGTCAGGAGTGGGGTCTACATTGTCAGACCAAGATACCGTGAGTGCCAGGGTTTAGTCGTGTCAAATTCCCCGCCAATGCCTGGAGGACTCTACACCAATGATACCTACTTGGGGGACGACAAGCAGACGAATCTTCTTGAGCATTTGGCATGCGCGTTTGTGCTTGTGCGCTGTGTATGCTCACTACAGCTGACGTTGGGGCCTCCATGCGATGAAATCGTCTCAAGCTCCCGGATCCAAGAACGTTCTGCATCAGCGAGGAGGTCTTGTCAGATTCCGCCCTCCACCTAAATCACTACTTGGTGCAGCTCGGATGCACCCGGAGCATGTTCCTTCATTGGCAAGATCCCCAAGAGTGTGGGCTTGGCAATTCCATGCTCACGGGCCTGACAATCCTCCTGCAATCCATGTCCTCCAGGGTCTCAGTTCGGCGTCTTGCGTCGCAGGTCTTGCTCAGAATGGCCCCACTCCATCCGCAAATCCCGAGCAGGAAGGCGAGCATGAAGGCTCCGAGGCCTCGAGCTTCGTTGGGGGAGTCCATCTTTTCCGTTTCTTGGTAACCCACAAGTACACGTCGCCCGCAAATACCGCGCGTTTGCCCAGGCAATCGTGGCAGCGCCTCGGACGGCAGAGGAGTGAGGGGCGGCGCTGCTTTGATCGGTCTGTTTGTCAGTAGTGCCAAAGGGTACCCTTATTCTAACCGGTCTACTGGAGGATTTTGTCTTTGTGTGTGTGTGTGATGTGTTGGGTTTTGGATTTGGTTGTGTGTTCAGGATTCTCTGAGTTTCGGCCGGTGCCCTTCGGGCAGAACATGGCCAGGTCGCACAAATTGAGATCTTCCCAACATTTCCCAACTAGGTGCAGCAAGAAGTTTTTTTGCGGCACGGCATCAGGAGAAAGTCGCAGAACTGTCCAGAAGGCAGGGGTGAGGTAGTACTAACGGACAATATCTTGCACCACCCAGGATGGATGAAAGCACAAATATATTGGGATGACCATCCGCATTCCAACTGGGGAGTGATGTTGCCCAGCATCACGGGGTACCACTGTGCTGCATCCCGAAAATGTTCTACGCCGTGTCCTTGAGGGCTGTGAGCGGCCCTTTAGCACAGTCCCCAGGACCAAGCGTCGCCATGACAGTGCCCAGCTACCATGACAGTAAGTCACAAGGGAGGCTTTGACCATGGCACCTCGTGACCAAGGCCGTTTGCCAAATGTCCCTTGCCCGGCCATGGTTCGCCTGCAGCTGCGAGTTTCCCACCTGCAACCATCCCACAATGAAGTATATCCAGGACCCAACCTGGTTTGTCAAAAGTTCACTCATGCGGTTGCCCGTGCGTGAGTAAAAGCAAGATGGATCTCTGGCCAAGGTTCTTCTGGAGGCGGAAGCTGCACAGGGGCCGCGTCTCCAAAAACAAGGGGGAGACTTGGAGCGCCATGGGCAACCTCGAAAAGGCCAAGAAGCTCTTCCTCGAGCAGCTTCGCCTGCAAGAGGTGGGCCAAAGGCTTCCTTTGGGGAAGTTGCCAGAAGGATTTCTTGAGTGTTGAGAAATGCGAAGGCTTGAAGGCCTCAGCATATCAGATGTTCCTGAACCTTGATGCCTCCAGCCCTAGGATGGACCGCGATGCTGTATGGGCCACCTGCCTGAATTGATCGCTACAGACGCAGCACAGCGCATGTTAGATGGCTCCCTGACAGGGGTGGGGTGCAGGTAGGGTTTGGAGGGTTCCGTGCAGCTGGTTTTAGGGCATAGGTTTTGTTGACATGGGTTTGTTGCACCTGACGTTTGGGCGTTGAGTTAGGTTGCAGTTTAGGGCCTAGGTAATGGTCAACTGACTTTAGGGCTTCGGGTTGAGGCTTAGGACAGTAGAAGTTTCAATCTTGTCAAACTGCCGCAAAGAATAGTTCTTCCTGCATCGTGCCAGACTACATTGCGCAAATCACAAAAATCAGGGCTCCCAAGAAGAAACCGCTGGGCACAAGCAACGTGGTTTTGTCGCCTTTTACAGCGGGTAGTTGGGGTTTGTTTGCAGCCCTTGCCAGCGTCCTTCTGTGCGCGGGCGGAAATCATAGGAGTTTGGCAGTTTTTTTCCTGCCCAACTAAGGTTGTCCTTTGCAGGCCACATGCAGAGGTGATGATTCTACAGATATCCCCACCCCGGGGTGATAAAATGACCCCTGGAATTTCATTTGTTGCATTTGTTTACGGGGACTAGACAAATGGAACTGGGGACCCCCCACCTTCTTTTAAGGGGGATCTACAGATGCAACCTGCTCGGAGCCTTTGCCACGGAGAAAGGGGGAGGGCATCCTTTTCATGGGTTCCACTGGCCGAAAAGGCATAGGGGCAACAGTGGTCATACTGTGGATGGACGAAATCCGGCACCACCTAAGAAGCCCTGGAAGGATTCGATGGTTTTCTGTAAATGCCAGCAAAAAATGGTTTCCCATGCTTTCAAAATGGTGCGAAATGGATTTTGTCCATCCACGGTAGCGTCACAGATCCTATCCAAGCGCAATTCTTCTCGCGAGGACACTGAGCTCGCGAGAAAGTCCTGTCGCAAAAAGTGCGCAGAGCGGTTTCCGTTCTGAGAGCGAGGAAAAGTGCCTGTGCACCCGCCGAGCTGCTTCGGGCTGTTTGGAGGGTTTGGGTATCAAGATTTCGGCATGGCTTTGTTGCGTGGGAGGAAGGCCAAAGGTGCATTTGGCATGAGAAGCGGGGCCAGAGTGCATATACTATGCCGAAATGTTTGTTGGATTCTGAGTCAGGTTGTTGATGTTAAGCATGGTTCGAGGAAACTGCAGATGGAGCGATGTGTTGCTTCGTCAAGCTATGAATATTATGTAGAGGTGTTTAGCGAAACATAGTGGGCAGTGCGGGATTTCAGACATGTATTTTAGTTGTAGGTGCACGGTGCGCAAAGCAGCTTACTAGTGGACAACAAGCTTACAGCACATGCACCAGTTGAGCACCAAAACCGATGCGCAAGCATTTTGGAGTGTTTTTGGCATGCCTACAGGCAGGGGCATCTACAAGGATCTATCATGATCTATCCAGGTAAATTTGTTGAAATTGTAACTCCCACGGCTACAGCCTTGTTTAACACACTGCTGTGTTCCTGCGAGGGACTAAACGTCAGGTTTCCTCCATTGGTGGCGGGCGTAAGGTTTAGAATGGGTGTTCTCCCATTTGGTTTACGCACGGCCATGACGCAGGCTCCGCGCCGGATCTGAATCCGAGCTGCCCGGGCTCTGAGCTGAGTGAAGCTGGGGGAAAAGCATGGCTGTGCGCTACATACCCGAAAAAGGAAGCCACTCATAGATGCCATGGTATTTCTTCCAGAAGTTCCCTTCTTTGATTCAGCTTGATTCAGGAGGGAGGATGTTTTAAGAGCACATTTTGCGCAGAACCTGAAGCAAATGAAGACTGGATGCACAGGAGTTGCTTCGGATCGACTGTTTCAGATTGGCGGCTAGCATCCACCATTCTGCCACCAACGGCAGGCTGAACATCAGCCAAGCTGTTTCAAAGTCCCCAGCAGCTTAGTAGTGTAGGAAACATGTTGGGACGATGCATCCTTTGCATAACTTCCGGTTATGTACCCTTGCGAACGGGTTGCCACGAAGAAGACCATTAGCTCGGTGATGGTGCCATTTGTACAGCGCACAACCCTGCGCGCTGGCGCGCGGCTGAGCGGTGCCTAGCCAGCTAGTTGCTGCGATCTCCAGGTCTCATCACATAATACTGCAACCCTTTTGGTGGTTGCATGTTGCAATAATGGGTTCTGGATTCGTTTGAAATTGCCTTTGCCCATTCAAACTGCGCTCCTGATGGGTCACTGAAAAGAGTCCTGACAGTTCTTTCGGCAGTCCATGCCAGCCAAAAAGCTCCTCTGCTTGCGCTGGAAGTTGCCGACGGTAGGCGCACCAAACCAGGCTAACCGCTGGGAAGGCCACTCGCTCTTAGCAAGCCGCAATCCGAAAGCAGGTTCATCACACAACTTGGTTGCTCCAAAGTTTGCCTGCTTGCAGACGGGCTTGACTCACTCGTCACCCGTGGCAAATGGTGCTTCTACTTGGCCGTCGGCATGGGCTTCAGCTTCACATCCATCGAGGGGCGCGCCCACGATGAGGCGCAGCGGCGCACATCCATGCCGGGACAACATGAAGAGAAACGTGTGTGTGCCACGATTAACGTGAATATGTCCATCAAACGTTGCCAGACTCTACCCACACTTCATTGTTGTTCATTTTGCTATTTTGGTGCTCCTTCAATTGTTTTTCAGCTGCAGGCGGTCTAAGTCTGGCCCATCAATGTGGGAAGCGCGGACGTCGACAACTATTTGACTTGTAGATGACGGGGTGCCTCGATGATTGGGTGCCTGTGACCTGCAATATGGAGGGCCTCCTTCTATGAACTACTGTGGCTCGAGGGGCCGGAACCGACCGCACAATTATCTTTGTAAAACAACTTGACCAGCAACCTGCAGCCCTCGTCGCCCAAACTTTCGACGTGCCAAATGCATTCGGGGGCTTTGTGTGCCACCGCACCTCTGATGCTGGGAGGCTGCCAATGCGGCTGCGCCTTACAAAGGTGCTTGGTAGAGGCGACGGCGGCGCGTGGTTGGGTGGACTGCCATGGACGCCTAAGACCGCGTTGGTTTCCAAAATGACTGCCCGAGATGTTTGAGGCATGCCAGTTGAAGCCCGCATGGAGCAGCTTGGTGGAGAAATCGCCCGGAAATCCTTCGGCTGCAGCATCATTGCAGCTCGTTGTACAGTGAAAAGAATTGGCGCATTAGGATGAGCCCCGGGCATTCATCCCACAGGACGGCATTTGGATCCTGAGACTTGACGACTCAGATCCTAAATGGAGTCAAGATTGGGCCGCACGTGAGACTTTAGTCGCTGCGGCCAGGCGTGCCGGCGCTGTCCGCGCCAGGCGCGAGGGTGTACCGCAATAGTTCTTTGGTCGACGACCTTTTCTGACGTTTGACAGTGGCTCCAAAAGTTGTAACCAAAAATGGCCCCTTGGCAAATGGAAGCAAAGACCAAGCCCGAGTAACCCCAGCTCTTTGATTTTGAGCCAGTTGAACAATAGGACAAGTGGCAAGTTGGCAAGGTCGTGCATGTGCACTTTCCAGCACTCAGTATTGTAACAGCCTTGCTGACCACAGCCCGCAGCCAATGCAGGCAAGAGCGCGTGATGATCTCCAAAAGAATGCACAAACATGCGTACGCCACACACACACACATGCTAAAGCAGACACGCGCTCCGGGGCGCTATGGAAGCACACTTTCCATCGGAGCTCTTGACAGGAAGGACTCACTTACAGTACTGCCTGCCTGCATGCGTGTCAGAGGATGGCATGATGAAATGCCCCAGACATGGGGGGCAAACATGAAGCTTTCACCATTGAGCAGCTCGCGAGCTTCTTTGCTTCTTGGCCGCATTCTGGAAATCAAGGTCTTTTGCGCAGCTTTCTTTCCCTTCTTTCTGCGAAGCCTTGATGGCTCCATTTGGCCTCGGCCTCAGTTATTTTCAGCTCCGTGCTGAGGACGGGGAGTTCAGCCGGGACGAGATCCAGCAGTATGTGGCTGGTGTCCGTCCACAGCGCGAGGCGCGACCAGCATCCAAGCAGCACGGGGGGCCCTGAACAAGTACTATCTGACGGCCTCTTTGGCCTTTGGTTCAAAAGGCTCACATATGGAACGCTGCGCCATGAGACAGTGCCGATGTGCCACAGATACGTTCATTTCACATCTTTCTTGAAACTCAACAAAGGGGGCCGGCAAGGGAATTTTCTTCTTGCATCTGAAGCAATTTGTAGCGCACGACTGTTTTCGGATTTGCTGCTGGTGGCTTTTGTGCGCTCCTTCTCAGGTAAAGATGCAAATATTTGTGTACACGATATACACACATATATATATATATGTGTATATATATAAATATAAATAAACAGTATATATATATGTGTGTGCGCATGTATATGTATATTATGCATGGGGCATGCATACGACATGAGCACACCCCAACACGAATGGAGAATGCGTCTCTGAGTGCAGGCTTTCCGAAGACACCCACTGTTAAGATGGCTTGCCAGGGCTTTCGCGACTCACCCTCGTTTGCTGAAACCATGCCTAAGCCCGGAGGTCAAAGGCGGATTACGTTTGCAGGTAGAGCCCGCAGGTCTCATCCATTTCCAGGTGCGAGCTTTTAAGTTGTAGGTCGCGTCTGCATGCAGCCGCCAAAAAACAACTTTCCCCAGGGGCTCGGTTCCCCCGTCGGCCAGAGCGCGGTCTTTGTGGGGGGCCTGAGCTGGGCCACCAGTGAGGCCAGGCTGCGAGAGTTCTTCTGCGCGGCCGCTCGGCAAGAACTCGGGAGGGATCCAGGTGGAGGTTCCGTGAGATGGGAGAGGGCTGTGGCTCAGAATGAATGAGCTACTGGTAGGCTTGAGCCAGAGCCAACTTTTGAATTGTGGCCCTGCGAAAAAAAAGGGGGCTGACTCAGCCCCCCGAAGCTATGAAGCGGAAGTGCTATCAAAGAGAGTTGAGGCAAGGTCGCCTGTGGATGGCGTGCGTCTTTTCCACGAGATAAAATCTGTTAAGTTGAGCCAGGCTCGCCGTATCATGACTCATTTGTGCTTGCCTCATTTGCCCTTCGGGCATTGAAGCTTGCACATGGACATGTCGACCCTGAAACACCGGCTGCTTGAGCAACCGCAATTGTTGTCGAATGACCGGAAAGACTGTACTTGTCTTGAGTTCTTCAGCAAATAGTCGAGCCATGTCGCACCATGCTAAGCCCACAATCGGGACCTTAGGGTCAGAGTCCTGGCCTTTCCAGGCACTTGCACTGCTTTCCAGATTGTAAACGGGGAGCTTATGGGCTGAACACGCTTCACAGACGGGCCGCGAATGGCGAGACCTTTTTTTGTTTCTCACTTGGAAACCCATGGCCGAAGTGGCACCTGCAAAAAAAACAAATTAAATGTCACAGAGGCACGCCCCGAGTCCCAGTGGGCCTGGACGGTGTAAGGACCTGCGCCGAGCGGAGCTGTACTTGGATGCCTCAGGGCGCTCCCGCGGGTTCGCCAAGGCCGCCCACCTCCGTCTTGCGAAAACTACGAAACACTTGCCTTGTGCTGGGCCTCACAGGAAGTGAACAGTTTGGAGTCAGCTGCTTTTGGCCAATGCTGTACATGGTGTATTTAGTGGGGCCCACCCTTCTATCGAGCAGCCGCTAGCTTTACTTCCTGCAACACCTAGTAGCACTTACTCGGTTGAACCCGAGATGCTAGATCACCAGCCCAAGCCCTACTTGAAACCTAAAGCTCAACCGCCTAACTTAAGAAGTCACAATCTACACATAATTGCGGAGTGCGGCTGGCCACATACAGGGCCTGGAGATGATTTTGGTATGCCTGGCGGCTAGGCAATCATGTCTTTGGACTTCTCTGTCCTTATGCATACCGAAGAGAGGGAAAGAGACAGAGCGAGAGAGGGAGAGAGTCCCTGTGGCAAGATTACGAGAAAGAGTGTTTGTTGGGACTTGGAAGTATCATGTTCAGCTGCATGCTGGTCCAAGATCTGCGTACATGGCAAGTCTTCAAGGAGAGAGCGCCGGATAGAGAGGGAAGATACAGAGCGAGAAAGGATCACAATCACAGAAGCACCTGTTCAAGCATGCCGCGCAGGTGTACACAGAACAAAAGCTTTTGGAGCATAGACCACGGCTTACATGTCCTCGGTTGCAAACTGCTGATCACGCAGCCTGACTTGGGCTGGTGCGGATATGTGTAGATTATGAGGATTACGTACTTCTATACCTCCTTACCGCCATCAGGGGAAAAACTTGGATGTAGAAGTGTTCAACTTTTGGGGAATGTCAGGCCTGAAGGTCCGAGAAAAAGACAACTTCTATTTGGGCTGGGTGTTCGGCTCAGTCAGCCAGTCAGCTTCTATTCCGAAAGCCTGAGCCGGAGGTGTGCTTCAACACGCCGGCGGGGCACGAGGCGGCGCTGGCGCGCAGCGGGCAAAACTTGGACGGCAGGCTGGGCTGTGGCAGCCCGTTGGAACCGTGAGAGACCTCTAGACACGGATTGTGAGATATGGGCATGGGTCACAGTGAACATCCCAATCCCCACTAAAATAGACTAAAATGGGTGGTGAGTTCACCTACCCCAAAACGGTACCATTGGTTTTGACCCACGGCCAAACCTCGCTCAGTGCAGTCCGAGCTTGTTCAACCAGGCTTTGCTTTGAATCCCTTTCCATGGCCTTGGCTTCAATATTTCCTGCATATTGGATTGAAGGGGAAGGAAGCTCACAGGGGATTTTGGGACTTCTTTGTAAATCTGATCTCTTCTTGAAGGGGAGCGACCATTTGCCAGCAACCCAACCCAAGAAGGTCCCCGCAGGTTGGTCACGTTGTGCTTGTTTATTTTGGTTTCTGGTAGTCACATCGCGGCGACAAGGCAAGCCTGTCACTGTACAACCTCACGAGCATCAGTTGTGTCCTTGATTTGTTCCATCCCGCTTTCCCCGCCAAGCAAACGCGCACTACCATCGTGTGCGCTGTTTATTTACTCCATTGTCCTTTGTAGCACTTTTCCTTTGACAGCACCAGCGGCTTCTTTGACCAGACTTTGCTTGGCTGGGTTCTTGGGCTCTCACGCCCAAAGAGCCGGAGGCAGATTCTGGTGCGCGATTTCGAGAGCAGAGGCGGGCCGTGGCATCTACTAGTATTTACAACCAAGCGGAGGATGGGAGACGTGAAGGATTGGAAGGAGCGCAAGGACGTGATGGAAGGGAGGGAATGTAAGGAAGGGAAGAAATACAGAACCCCCAAGCAGGCTGATCTGACCAAACCCGCGCGAAGCATGGAGAGTGCACCCTGAACCTCCCCGCCCCCGCCCCCCAAACCCCTAGTGAAGCGCACCTGAGCCAACTGCTTTGCATTCTTCAGGCATACCTCCCAAAGTTCTCACTAACATTTTGATGTTCATTTGGTTGCTGTGTACCGGTATCCGCTGATTTGGGCACCACCCCCCTATTAGTCAGGAGGCCTTTTTGAGGTTGAATTCCTTTCTTCCAGGGAAACGCCCCAGATGATGATGGGGGGTAGTTGGTTGGGTGTCAACATCATTACAGAGTGAGATCGTTGGGATAGAGGGCCCGAGTTTAATCCTTTTTTCGGTCTTGGGCCGCATTTTAGTCTGAAGCGATTGACCAACACAACAAATTTGTGCTCCCAGTCGCTGTGCTGTGGGGACAGTCAGGCAGAAATACTCTTGACCTCGAACTCGAGCATTGAATGATGCTGGCTTTGCGGGTGTGTCCAGGGTTGGGCACACCTTGATCCATTAGGATGCCTTCATTGAGTGAAGCTGTTCGGTAGACATGTGGGCAACCCACAAGGGTATACACTAACCTTTCCCACGAGCAGGTGTTGACCTTTGTGCACATTCTCATCAATCTACCGCTTCCATGCAGACAAAACAACAGAGTGCCCAGCAGGGAAAGCCTAGCACAAAGGCAGGTAGATTGAACAGCAGGCAGTGATGCCAACAAGACGCAAAGGGGCCCGTTGTTTGATCATAAGAATGCTTGGCGTGTCCTCGGTGGTTTCTTTGTAGCATTCTGAGTTTCCATGGCGTTGTGGCGGGGAGCTCGCCTTGTTTGTGCATTCCAAGCCACCGCCCTAGTGGGAGCCGCAAGGCCGGGAGAGGCAGCCGGAGCACGAGGTCTTCGTGGAAAGCCTCAGCTGGCACACAGGTGAAGATCAGCTGCGCCAACACTTCGAAGATTGCGGGGCACCTCGGCGCAAAAAGGCAGCGCATGTGTTTTGTGTGGTGTGGATCATCCTGAGTGCCACCTGCCAGGCAACATGGACATGTTTGCAACCAGCCATACCCTTAGGAGCTGTGAGCAAGGTGAGGCGGCCATGTTCCCCCCCAGACTCTTGAGGGGGCTGGCCAACCCTAATTATCAGGAACTGCATGGGTTAAGCTTTCAGTTGGCTCAGCCTTGTGTGACGACCTGGTCCCAAGGAAATTCTCTCATGCAAAGTGTTCTACCACAAGAGCGGCGAGCCAAAGGCGGGGCTGGGAAGTGCAGCGAACAAACCGCCCCAAGAAGGCTCCTCAAAGCTGAGAGGAGAGGCTGACTTTGATTTGTATTTTTCTCAACTGGATGTGTTTTTCCCCTCTCCCCAGCAATCATGGACCTCAGGTAGGCCATGGATGTTTTCTTGAGTTTCTTCCTTGCTGGAAGGCAAGCGTCATTGAAAGTTGGTCTTGGCATCCTTGCTGAGTCAAGACCCTCTGGAAGCAACGGCAGAGAGAGAGAGAGAGATCCTTCTTTGCCAGACATGGCATACTCGCTCTTCCATAGCCGAGTCAAGGGCTGCGGCAAGCTCGCCTTCGCCTCGGCGGCAGCGGCAGCCAGCGCGGCGAAGAAGCACCTCAGCGACTTGGACGGCTGGACGCTGGCGGTGAGGCGGGGCGGGTTTTCTTCCCGAGAAGACACCATAACTATCCCTGCATGGGAACGGCCTCTGCGGTCAAGTCGGTGGTCAAGCGCTCAAAGCACCAAGAAATTGCAAGCTAGCACTAGATGAGCTGCAGATGTGCAATTGTCATGCCAAACACAAGCGCTAGATATTAATTATCTAGGAGCGGGTAGACGTTGGTCTCGCAAGCAACCAAGCAAGCAAGCATAGCTGAAGGTGATGGTCTGGAAATGGTTGAATCGGAAGCGTCAAGTTTGTTGTAGTTGGTTAGGTATGTGTTTGTTATTTTTGCTTGCTTGCTTGCTTGCTTTGATTTGCTTTGCTTTGGCTTGCCTTGCTTTGCTTTGCCTTGGTTTGCTTGCTTGCTTGCTTGCAACTACGTTATTGGTAACCACTGCCGCACATGCATATGAGCACCATCGTTTTCAGCGTGTTTAGATGCACGATGAGGGCCCGTTGTACAAGAGGTCGAGCCCACTGTTTTGCAACCAACTGCATTGCGGCAAGAAGTACAAGAAACACAGAAATGCCCGCCCCAGTGCTGCACTAGATAGGATTGAAAGGCCTATGTGCATTGCCCTGACTCGAGCCGCACGGCATGTCAGGCCAGCGCACCCAGCGCGAAGGCGGAGACCCACGGGCGCGGAGACTTGGCTCACCATGCTCACCCGAAACTGCCGGAGGTTGTGGGCTTATGTGGGCTTTACAGCTGTTCAGGAGCCTTTTTGATCCTTTGTGCACTCGGACTCCTGCTTGCAGTAGTATTCGATCGTCAGCAAAGGGACCCCTTGGATGGTGCGCTTGACATGGCTGAATAATGTCAATGCAAACTCGAGCGTGATAGCGCTTGTTTTCGTTGTTTGGTCACTTTACCCAAGGGCCATGCATGTTGATGTGTTCCGATACGCGCGCTGGGCAACAGGAAGAAAGGGCTGAGCAGCGGACATGTAACTTTCTCTCATGTTCCCACCAACGGTTGAACTTTGCCCAGTCCTTCGCATGTTAGTTTACATGGTTCGCCATTTGCCCAAGTGGCGGGTGGTCCAAGCAAGTCTCGGGTTCCCTTGCGGCGACATTCTAAGACTTCAGGCGGGGACAGCACAACTACTGCCCAAGGCCAATTCCTGTGCTGTGCCAGTGCTTGGCCCACGGAGCTCCCGGAGAGCCTTTCTGACTGCGCAGGATGGGGCGGCTGGCAAAGAGCAGCAGGAGAAGGGCGCCCCGGCATTTGCGACTTTCAGGGCCTCCCACGCATCCAAGTGCCCAATTGGGACGGCCGGCATTGGGAAATTTGGGGAACTCTGTGAATCGCAGCGCCCCGAGTTTCGGAAAAATGGTTTCTTTAAAGGGCCCTTAGGATTGACGCAAATGTGGAATTTCAGCGAAAGCCTCCTGCAAGATCATGCTCCCATTGACTCAGACTTTTGTTCGGTTTGGCTTGAAGGCACCTTTGAATCAGGCAGAGTCAAGCGCCAACCCGTTCATCACCTCTTCCAAACCCGCATAATTATTTCGACCGCGGCAAAGCCACCACTCCTCCAAGCCACTGGAGCCTGAATGGAGGCCTTTGGAAGACCAGGTTAGACGAAGTGTCAGGTGCTAGCGGGTCCGAAATTTGCCTGGACGAAGTCAGACGGGATCGCACACCCAAAGTTGGCCTCCGCGGCATAGGAAAAAAAACACGCTCTCAGCACGTTTCAACATACTGAGCCTCTAGCCAGCAAACCCGACGGCCGCACGCAGATGGGGCCGCCATTTCGTCAGTCGCGTGAGGCGCGTGCATCCGCCTCCTCAGCAGCCGGGCCTCACTGCTGCGGGCTGTGCCGGAGTTGGGCCTCGCAGAGTGGTTGCAGCTCCTGGAGCCGCGGGGCTTCCTGCCACTCGGCAAGCGAGACATGAGCCACGTGCTCAAAAAGCGGGTAATTAGATGAAGGGTAGTAAGGGGCAGCCCCAGCCGGAAATAGTTGCGGCCGCCTTCTAATTCTTTACATGGTTCTGGGTTCACCACTTTGGTACCAGGTTTTGATTGTGACTCAGATGCGGTCTGGGTCTGGGTTTGGGTGGATATCGCGGGGAGCCAATGGTTTTGACTGGCCGGGAATGACACCCCGAGTGAGGGATTTTCCAAGTAGCCTGTCCACCACTCCGCTGGGATCACATAGCTCAGGCTTTGCTACCTGTCGACTTTGGCTTCCACAGGTTGCAGAACTGCAAGGGATGTCGCTGAGAGGTGCCGCAGCCGGCCTTTCATGTGAGGTGCCTTGAAATGTGTTAGACTAGCAGCTGGTTTGCCAGTCTTGTTATCGGTGCTGGCTACAAGTAGTTTCTTTTGCAATTTGGTTTCTTTTTTTGCTCACGGCTTGCACATTGCCAGATAAGTCACATTGTAAATATAACAATATGTGCGCTTTCTTTCTTGGCAGGTGCTTCAAGGTTTGATGACGTGTTTTAGAGCTTGAGCTTGGCCCCAGCCCCACGCCTGCATACGCCTGCCGACCCACGCCCGCTAAGAGGCACACAATTTCCAGGCCTCTCAAATCGCAACACTGGGCATCGGGAGGTACATCCAGGAGCAAGCTGGGGAGCTGGCCTTGGAAGAGCTCCTTTTTGAGAAGTTGCGCCGTGCCTGCGTTTGGGCACCTTCTTTGGGACATATGGCATGACTGGCTGGTGGTCGCGGCAGGTATGGATCATATGGGGAGGTGTTAGTTTTGGGGGATTGAGCGGGGTTTGTTGGGTCAGCGGAGATACATCATAAGCACAGAGGCATCGGGGACAACATGATCATGAAGCAGATCGAAACGTAACGTGTTTCTGGTCTTTCTTACTGTTTTACTGTTTTCCTGAACCACGATTGGGGACGCACACAGAGGATCCCTCATACAATACGCCTGCGTAATACTAAATCCTGGAAGGTAAATGTCATCTAATTGGTGCATTTTGTTCGTTAAGCCGGGCCAAAAGTGTCAGTCAGGAAGGTCCGGAAGCTGGGCCACCGGCGGCTGCTGCAGCGCTGGTTCGCAGACCTCACCCGGTGACACTCGCTTCGGCTTCGCCAGGCATCCAAGCCGCAGTCCAAGGATAGAGTGACGGCCGTTCTTGTGTTCGCTCGTGCATGGGCCTATTTTTCCAGGGAGCTTTGTGCTTAGGGAATCTCAAATTTATCAACCTGGTCCGCTTGAAGAGGGAGGTCCACATCGCTTCCCACTCAATCCAGGATCGTTGTTGGACTCTTGGAGGCAAACTCAAGCAAGGGGGTTGGGGGCCCCCATGTTTGGGCGGTAGGCAGCCGTTCTACTGCCGTCCTGGCCGCAAGAACAGCACTGGCTTTTTGGTGCCGAGGCATGATTGTTCTTGTGCCGGGCGCTGACCAGCAGGAAGACCTGGATACGGATGGTCTCGTCAAAAGCTGATGGGGCGAAGAGGCCGCAGTTTGGTGTTTCGGCCGCAAAAATTCCAGCCGCGAGCTTGTGTCTCGAAGTCCGAGCTCCAGTGTTTGAATCAGCGCCGCACCTCCTTTTGCCAGCCGCCCCACAAGCCGGAGGTGTGGCCGCGGGATCGCGCGCTAGGAATGAACTGCGGGCGCGGCCGGGGAGACTGAGACACATGCCTGTGTATGGCCTGCGCACGACTCGCACAAGTCAGAATGACTATGCTCCAGCGCCCAAAATCTTCAACCTGTCAGCCTTCAAGCTTGAAGCCGTTGGCTGAGGGCCCATCAAACTTTGCTTTCCGGAGGTTCAAGTTCTGCATAGCGGAGACCCTGTCTCGAGTGCCAGCTGCCAGGTATCCGATTCACAGCCTCCGCGCCGTCGGTAAGCGCCTTAGGCCCGGGGCCTCGGCCGAGGGGGGGTGTTGGGATTGAGTCATGGCTGGTTCTGCAGTTGTTCAGGCCCTTAGTGTCCCAAGTCTCCACTTTGTGTGGTCAAACCTTGTTTCAGCTCATTTCTTGAGTGGTTTGCGGTTGATCCGCCGCCTACACTGCAACCCGGCTCCTGGATGTTGCCCATTTTATCATTGAGCTGGTTGTGAGTAAACACATGAAAAGTTTTGAGGCTCCGCCAGATTCATGGATGGAACTGTCGCCACCTTTCAACACCTTCAAACACGCAGTCTTGACGTTCTAGTAGCTATAGCACGAGAAAGGGAGGGAGGGAGGGCGGCAGGGAGGGAGAGAGAGAGAGAGAGAGAGGGAGAGAAAGAAAGAAAGAAAGACAGAAAGACAGACAGACAGACAGACAGACAGACAGACAGACAGACAGACAGACAGACAGACAGACAGACAGACACACAGACACACAGACACACAGACACACAGACACACAGACAGACAGACAGACAGACAGACCGACCGACAGAGAAAGAAAGAAAGAAAGAAAGAAAGAAAGAAAGAAAGAAAGAAAGAAAGAGAAAGACAGCAAGAGAGAGAGAGAGAGGGAGAGAGAGAGAGAGAGAGAGAAAGAGAGAGAGAGAGAGAGACCCTTGTTGCGCAGCCCTGCCATGTTTCCTGCATGCAGCGCCAGCAGTGTCACTACCAGACTCTCGCCATCACGCCCTCCGCCTCGGACAACGAGGTGCGCTCAGCATACCGCCGGGCGCTGGCGACCCACCCGGACAAGGGCGGCACGCCGGAGTCCTTCCGCGCGGTGGTGCAAGCCTTCGAGACGCTGGTCGACACCCAGCGGGCGGCCTATGACAAGGCCAGGCTTGAGCGCCGAGAGCCCAAGGGCAGGAAGCGGGCGTGCCGACAGCCTGGCCCCGCTAGTTCACAGCCCCATGGACAGTCGCAAAGGACAAGGACACTAGGGCTGCAGCTACGGAGAAGCTGAATCACGAGCGCCTTTTCGGCAAGGCCGGGCGTCATGATGAGAGTGTGTGTGTGCGCGTGAAGCCTATATTAGGCAATGAGCGTGACCCCTCAGGTTTGGGCCCCTTCAAAAACAACAAACACACAACGTGGAGCCTGAAAGGAAAGCTTCCAGCGCCATCTCAGCCACAATCAAACCTGGGTAGATGAAGGTAAGGGAAATCCATAAATAGCGGCTGCCCTGTGGATTCGTTACACCTGGCTTTGGCAATTATACCCCCCTTACCAGGTGGTGATTGTGGCTCAACTGGGGTTTGCGCTTTTCAAGATATTTTTTTCAGCTTACTTTTACGCAGAAACCAGCCGGAAAATTCGAGATCCGTTTTGGGGGCTCCCCCTTTGACCCTGGACATTTGGCAGGTGATGGCCATGAGCCGGCCCAAGGCCTTGGCGGAGCTCCGGGATCTGAGCCTCGAGGAACTGCGTGCCTTCAGCCGCTTCTTGTGCTCCGATTGCCCACGGCCCGAGCTCGTGCCGCTGCCGCTGCGCAACGCCAGGGCCAAGCAGAAGCCCCGAGCCAAGAAGCCGAAGATCAAGAAGCCCAAGGCCATGACGGCCACTTGCTCAGAGAAGGTTTTGGGGAGGGGGGGGGGAGCTGTTGGAGTGCGTTTGTGGTTTCTTCCTTTGTTTGTTCAGTGCGTGTGTTGTTCGTTGCATTTTCCGACTTCTTACACTTGGCCAGTGGAGAGTAAGTAGAAATCCGATAAAGTTCTGCAGCACTTCGCTGCACTGGTGCAGGTAAAGCGAGGGCGAGGGGTGGCGCGGTACAAGGATGGTCGTGGTACCTACCGCTACCAGGCCAAGGTGGGCTTTATGGGCGGCTTTGTCCTGTGCCAGAGCGTGACGGAACTGGACCAAGCCATCGACTTGCACATGAGCCTGGTGCAGCTGCGGCATAGCTGCCTGAACATGCAGTCTGGCCAGAGCTTCCAGGACGCAGCGCGCCGGGCCATCAAGGCGATGCACGCGGACCGCGCGGCAGCGCAGGGGGTGCCGATGCGGCTGCGGTTCAAGTGCGCGTTTTGCAACAAGTGCACGCCGTTGGAGTGGGACGTGGAAAAGTTTCTGGTGGTCTGGGAGGCGCAGCAGAGGCTCAGGCAGAAGGCGCGGGAAGAGGAGGCAAAGGCAAAGGTGCCCAAGGCGTCCAAGGCGCCCAAGGCGTCCAAGGCGCCCAAGGCGCCCAAGCCGTCAGCAAACGGGGACAAGCCGAAGGGTGCGATTCCAGCCCTGAAAGACCCGCAAGCGCACTTTGAGTCCAAATTTGCTAGTCTCAAGAAGATGGTTGAGCAGCTGCAGCGCTTAGAGGCTGCCCGGCGCCAGCTGCAAAAATCTTGGGGTGTGAGCTGCCAGCGGGCTTGCAACAAAGCAGCTTCCAAGGGCCCAACGACAGCCTTTGCGCCTTCCACTTGTCCGACGCCCAGCGGTTGGGGCCCTTTCGGAGTGTGCAGGCAGAGCGTGACCTGCAGCTTCGGCGAGCGACGCGGCGACCAGGCCCTTTGCGAGCTGAAGCGGCGAGACCTGGATGCGATGACTGCCTTTTTCGTGCAAAGCCTCAAGAAAAAGGTGCGCAACAACACTGCCTCCTCTCATTGCATGGACTGTCTCAGCCAGAGAACTGGGTTATTAGTTGCATTGCATGGAGCTCTTGCACGCTTTTGGCTTGGAGCTGATATGTGCTTGTCGTTGGGGCTGTTTCAGGCCTTGGCGAGGAATGTGAGGGCGGGTCCTGGTCTGGGGTCCGATCGGGGTTTGGTTTGGGCTTCGTGTACGTTTTCTTCGCGTTGGCTTGAACACGTACAAATGTCACTGTTTTGAGTTTGGCTCGCTCTACTCGTTATTCACCACAAATACTTGTCCACTTTATGTGCTTGGCTTTACTCATTCACCGCGATTCTTGGTCCACTTCACGTGCTATTTTTCTCCATCGATTTGTTCAAAAGGACTCGTTGCTTCTCACATCTGCCGCCTCCCTCCCTCCAGGCTCCGCCGCGCGGAGCCTGCGCGATGCGGTGAAGAGCCGCGAGGCGAGAAGTCCGGGGCCACGTGGCCCGGAGGAGTCTCTGGCGCGCAGACCAAAAGCTACGCTGGCGAAATGGGTTTATCTTTCTAGAGTACCCCCCCCCATTTTTTTGGTTTCAATTTAATTTTTAAGGGAATCCGAAAAGATAACCATGATCTTGGGGGTCGCCTAAGGAAAGACACACCCAAAGGTGATATGCACTAAATGGGATCTCGCCTCATGGGATGAGGAATGTTTTCCCGAAAGCATGGCGAAGGGTTCTTCCGCTGGGTTCACTTGAGTTGTTCTCATGAGAGTCATTACAAGGTGTCATTGCAAGGAATCAGCATCATGAAAGTCATTGCAAGGAGTCATTGCAAGGAATCATCATCATGAAAGTCATTGCAAGGAGTCATTGCAAGGAGTCATTGCAAGGAGTCATTGCAAGGAGTCATTGCAAGGAGTCATTGGCAAGGAGTCATTGCAAGGAGTCATTGCAAGGAGTCATTGCAAGGAGTCATTGCAAGGAGTCATTGCAAGGAGTCATTGCAAGGAGTCAAGTGCAAGGAGTCATGGCAAGGAGTCATTGCAAGGAGTCATTGCAAGGAGTCATTGCAAGGAGTCATTGCAAGGAGTCATGGCAAGGATTGCAACTTGCACTTGACTCCTTGCAATTGCAACTTGCACTTGACTCCATGCACTTGCAACTTGCACTTGACTCCATGCACTTGCAACTTGCACTTGACTCCATGCACTTGGCTCCTTGCACTTGGCTCCTTGCACTTGCAACTTGCACTTAACTCCGTGCACTTGCGACTTGCACTTGACTCCATGCACTTGGCTCCTTGCAACTTGCAATGGCTCTCATGACTCCTTGCAATGACTCCTTGCAATGACTCCTTGCAATCCTTGCCTTGCAATGACTCCATGACAATGACTCCTTGCAATGACTCCTTGCAATGACTCCTTGCAATGACTCCTTGCAATGACTCCTTGCAATGACTCCTTGCAAGCCAAGTGCAAGTTGCAAGTGCAAGGAGTCAAGTGCAATGACTTGCGAGGAGTTAAAATTCTTCTTAGGGCGGCGGGGTAGTGCCGACGACACTACACGAAAAGGTGCGACCCTCTGCGGGGATCGGCGTGGTCGAGGTGCAAAAACCCAGGTTTTTTGCGATTTCTGCGGTGCTCGCGCGACCCTCTGCGGGGATCGGCGTGGTCGAGGTGCAAAAACCCATGGTTTTTTGCGATTTCTAACCTGCTCGCGCGACCCTCTGCGGGGCGGGGATCGGCGTGGTCGAGGTGCAAAAACTCGAGGTTTTTTTAATTTTGTTGTTCGAACTGGTCCTCGGGAGTTGTCTCGTGGTTCGCGCGCCTGCTCCCGGAACCGGCGGGTCGCGGGTTCGATTCCTCCCTGGTCCGCGGGCGGGCGTCGCAAGATGCAACTTGCATTTTAAAGCAACTTGCGCAGAGCAACTTGCGCAGAGCAAGTTGCACAGAGCAACTTGCGCAGACCAACTTGCACCGACCAGTTTGCGCAGAGCGTCTTGCCTAGAGCAACTTGCGCAGAGCAACTTGCGCAGAGCAACTTACGCAGAGCAACTTGCACAGAGCAACTTGCACAGAGCACCTTGCCTGGTGCTGTCTCGCGCTTGCTTCACGAATGCTTCGTGTAGGGAAAAAGAACGCATCCTGCAGCGTTGGGCCGACCTCGCTTGCGATGTTCTGCTTTCGGGCCAACCGTGGTCTAGTTTCCATGTGTGAATGTCCAAGTACGTTTGTTGCATGTGGGCAAATGAAAACAACAGCACAAAGGGTGGTTGTAGGTCAGGAACAGGCTCTCTCTTTCTGTTTTTTTTCTCTCTTGCTCTCTCTCTCGGGCTCGCTCGCAGGTCACAGCACAGATCGTGGCTGAGGCAGACGCGCGCGGGCGCCCAACTGTTTATTTTGCCGGGCTAGCTTTTCAGAGTGCGGCAGCAAATTTGGGAGCCCAAAGTTAGGAGTGAAAGCACCACTTCGGGGTCGAACAGCCAACTTACATCATTTCCGGGAAAGAAACCTATTGATACCTGGAACCTCGAATAGGAACAAATGATTGCTTATTGCCGTTGTTCTGCTCATTTGCTTGTTTGGCGGAAGTTCCGGAACATGTGCGGAAGTGCAACCTGTTCTGTGTTTGCATGTCTCAGCCAGCTGCTGGAACATCAGCGGGACATACGCGGAAATCTCGGTATATAGATACATGGACTTCCAAGGGAAATGCGCAGATTTACCAAAGCCGCGCTCCAAGCTTGTGTGGCTGGGCACCATGACGAAGAGCTTAGGATTCGACATTTCAGTTGTTGCAGAAACAGCGTTTTTGACAGGCATGAGTCGGCATGAGCGTTTGTTCCTGCTCCTTTCGGAAAACATGGAGAATTTGGTACTTTAGGACGTACGCAGGTGTGTTTTCCCAGGCCCGCTATGTGCCAAGCGCATGAACCAATGAAGGCTTCTTGAGATCCCTTTGGGGCACGCGAGCTAGCCATCACTTGTTGGCTTTCGGCCGGGAATAGAATACAGGGTTTTCCTCATGTCTGATGATGGTAGACAGGAAGCTTATTTTAAGCAAAGACCATTGGTTCAGCCTCTGGTAGCAGGATTGGTTCGCTTGCAATGCAGGTTTTAGCTAGCGGTAGGTGGATGGCGTTTCTGGATGCACCACCTGGCCCTCAAGTGCGCGAGACCAACAAACAAGCAACCCTGCAAGCAAGCCAAGAACGTACACCACTTTGTCAAGCAGTGGGTCAAGAGGCACAAACGGCAATGTCACGGTTGAAGGCGCCTGGTGCATCGTGCTAAACGCGATGCGGAACTAAGATGGGTGGAACCTCTTGAAATGACAAACAGTCGGGCACAGGTACAAGTTGCCTGCAAGAGGATGCGGGCTGGGTGCTGGGGAAAAAATAAAGAGGGGTTCAAGAGGGGCAGCAACAAAAGGGTGCCGATGCCGCAACGTGACAAATGAGGGAGTTTGTTTGAATGCGAAAGAATTGTCAGGGAAGCATGCCCTGCTGAGGCCAGTCGACAGAACAGCTGCGCTACAGCGATTGGGCCGCGCACTGTGCAAATGGCTTGACGAGAGTGAAGCATGGGCGTTGTGGCCTCCAGAATCAGCAGGGGTTTGCAACTTTGATATTGGGATGATACCAGCCCTGGATCAGGTTTTGACTAGGTGTGGCTTGCAGAATCCATCAAAAACGCCTTGAAAATGGACATGAGCAATTCCAATGGTCCTTTTGTCAGCTGTTGCTTGTCTTTGTGGGCGGCATGGGTCGCTTCAGCTCGCCGATTGCCTTCCCGGACTATTGTAGGCTTTCAAGTGGGCTGAGCAGTTCCGCCGCTCCTTGAAAGGGTCGGAGGAGTTCGCCTGCAAGCCAGCGGTTTGTCTCAACATGGCACCTGCTCCTCCGGCCCCCCCCCTTCAGGCCATGAGCTCAGGGAGTCGGAGGAGGAGATGGAGGCCAGGGCGAAGCAGCTTCCTTGAGCCCTTTCCTGGTTGCCTCGTGCCCTTTTATCAAACAATTTTTTGGGAGGGGTTCCCGTTTAGAGTCAACCCGCCAAAAAAGGATGCCCACTATTTTTTTCCCGTGGCCACTGGGCATCTGAGCTTTGCCAATTTACAGCACTGATCCTGAAGGCCATGGCATGAAGCTTCTACGCCGGAAGGGGAAAGATGATGGGTACTCGTACAAGTTCCGTCATTCCCTGCAAAAGTTCACATCTTGGGAGGTTCAAGCAACCCAACAGAGTTTTTTTGGCCAAGGCGCAGCCCTCTCGCCAGGTCATGCTCCTGGGCACAGCGCTGCCGACCTCCGAGCGGAAGGTGGTTGCGCGGCACCCGGTGTCGGGTCTTCGACTGGCCGACCAAGCAAGCCAGCAAGCCAGCAAGCTATCCTTTTTTGGGGGGGTGGTTGACAAGGACGCCACATGGACTACTTTTGTGGGATCCCTGGATTTTGGCACTTAGCCCCTTGAAGCCGGTTACACCTGGTGGCCGGGCCGTCGCCCAGACCTTCCGGAGCCCCACGGGGCCAAAGGGCGGCCCGGCGCAGCGCAGCGTGCGGGTGCCGCTGCCCAACGCTGGGCGCCCCAGGGCGGCAGCTTCCTTTGCCCGCGCCGGGAAAACACCCAAGCCACAAGCCCGGGGGTTCGGCGGCACCGGGCGGCAGCTTCCTTAGCCAAGAAAACACCCACAAAAACACCAGGGGTTCCATGGACCGATTTTTGTTGGAGGCAAGTGCAGGTCAAGCAAAGAGGCAATGCACCAGGTCAAAACGCAGTGCTCATTTGAGCCCTTGCTGGTTGGAATGTCTGAGAATTTTGAGTCTGGCGTGCGTCAGCGGCAGGTGGAGGACATCAACAGGCCAGAGGGCTACTGAGCCGGCCTCCGTTCAGACTTGCGGCTTCAAGGAACACTCGTCAATGGGGCCGGGAGATTTGTGCCATCTTGGCTCTGGCAGGCTGATCAGCTCCAGGCGGGAACAAGAGTTAGTCGGCATCCCAGATGGCCGAAGATTTGCAGGACGTGCCGGCTTGTCATGACTCTGACCCCAACAAATCCCGGCTTTGCCTACTAGGGCAAGAAGACTGAGTTTGTGAATTCGGCAGTTTGAATGGTATGGGGGGTGTGCTGGGGTGCTTGATATATGGTTGGCACTATTTGGCTGCACTGCCCTGCAACAAACTAAGCCCATGAAGCGGGACGATATGTCAGCATGTCAGCAAGGCACATGTACTTTATTCAAGTTGGCCGTGAAAGGGCCACATAGCAAGCAGCATTCCATGAAATTGATTTGGACACCCAGAGCTTTAGCCTGCTGCTTGCCGCCAGCTTGCCGCGTTGTTGAGGCCGTGCCAGCGGCTGATGAGCTGGTGAAGATCCTGGAGAGGCCAGGGGATCGAGCTGCGCGCGGTGCGACGCTTGGGGCTGGGTGCTATCGGTGACCCGGGGGCGACCACGTCTGACGCAAACCGACTCAATGACTCACCTTGGGCTCCTCCCGAACCTAGGATGGGTTCCAGGCGGTCAGCCCGTAGACGCATTTGTCCGTGGATTCTGCCAACTTGGAACGAGCAGCGTGCTAGAGCAACTGAAGAACAGGAACGGAGTGGGATTCTTGAAGGTCGGCGCTGGCTTCAGGCTGCTGAGATTACATTCGGACGTGAATTTCCGGGTTCGCCTCAGTTGGCAGAACCAGTGCCCGAAGCAGAGATACCAGGTAACTTCAGTTGCCGCGCACCTGAAGGCAAACCCGCTGCATCATTCAGGAGGCCATCAACAGGAAGATTCAAGCAATGGTTGCATGAACCTGGAAGGGTCAAGGATTCAAGAGACAAACAGCACAGCTGGTTGGAACATACCCCGGATCGCTTTTTTGAGATCTTCCTATTGCCGATAAAGGCCAGAGCCCAAGCATGTCCAAAGCGCTTGGCTCAAGCGCATCCCCCTTGCCGCCTGGGGGGCTTGCACGCGACTACCGTGCCGGCCTTGGCAATTCAGCATTCCAAGGTAGCCGGCGGCTGGTGTACATTGGTTAAAATCGCTTAGCTTGGAAGTTTGTACATGCACCAGCTACTCAGCTTCCTTCGTATTTCAGGACTGTGGCCAAAACGAACTTGACAAGAGGAAAGTCAAGTTTCTGGCGTCTAGGATCAGTGGCTTAGGGCTTGCCAGGCCAGTCTTTGGAGCCAACAGGGGAAGGACGGGCTTGGTTTCATTTCACTGTGGTTGCTCAGGTTGTTTGAAGTGGGCGAGCAGGGCTAGGTGGCTTCACGGGCACAAAGTTGATCTTGAGTCTAGAGCGAGGTTGAGCTTGCTCTCAAGAGGTCACGCTTATTCACGGTCATTGGTCTCTCAACAGTCCCTTTCCTGCCACGCTGCCGGGTCGTTTGGAGTTTCCTTGGATCAAATAGTTTAAGCTTTGCCCCGGCCAAGTCAGTCAAGAAGACCTTGAGTCATTGAGCCCCGATGTGTCGAGGTACCGCCCGCGGCGCTTCGCCCAGGCCGGATGCTCCCCAAGTCCCGAAAGTCATTGGCTTCGCTCATGGCCCATGGCCGCTTCCACCCACCGTTGGCACCGACGGTGCCGGCGGTTGCCCGAAGCCGGAGACTTTTTTTTTGTTTCGCAGGCGCAATGACGGATGCGGTGGAGTGGGCCACCATGAAAGCGGGCCAAGGAGTGAGCCCGGGCAAAGCGCCCGCTCGTCTCTTGGTGGGAGCTGTGGCTCGCTTTTTGTGGGTGATAGAGATGCCTTCCTCCCAAAACTATGAAGCAGGCGCCTTGGTTTCGCAAGCACTCAAAGGGGCTTACATGGTCCCATGGCAAAGAGCCCCCTGCGTGCAGGACTTGCCTCGGGCGAGATCAACCAGCCGCTGGATCAGGGAGGGATGGAGGGGATTGTTGGCTGGTTCAGTCAAAGGAGGGACTGGTACCTGGTACGAGTCAGCCTATGAACCTATCCGCCGCACCTTGCTCATGATGAGTCCCAGTGCCTCCCACTTTGAGGGCAGTGACAACCGATTTGCATGGACGACCCGGCTGGCTTGCTCCATTGTGTAGAGAATACGCTCATATTTTGTTGGAAACCAGTTTACCCTTTAGAAATGAAAGTCCATCAGCAGATGCCGGTCGCGGCCATGAGTTTTGCACTGCAGGCACTGGCTCTTCTGCATTCCAATCCAAGTTGGGCCGGCCACGGAGTATGCAAGGTGCGCGGCACATGGTCAGGCAACAAAAGAAAGACTTGGTGTAAACAAGTCATGGACAGATGGATATTGTCAACACTCTGGGAAACTTAACTTTCTTTGCAGATGGATGGCTAGTCACGCGTCCATGCCTGCGCAATTCGAAGCTCACGTTTTCTGCGTGGCGGTTCGCCATGGAGCTCCGCTGGTTGTTTGTTTCCCTGCAAGGGTTGTAGAAGGGAAGCAGGAGTGACATGCAGAATCCATGTTTTCTGTGGCGGGTCGAGGTCAGCCATTGGCCGCAATTGCTGGTTCTTTCTTTGAACACCTGGCCGGCCCAACTGCCCACTTCTTCACCAGTCATGCTACAAGTTCAGACGGAACTGGTTGCAAGCTGTAAACAGAATGGCTCCACGCAATCCTGCCAGGGCATCGCGAACCTGGTTCGCCCTCATCATCCTTTTGCAGGTGGCAGAGGCAGTAGCGCAACCCGGATGATGCCCCAGCGCGTTTACTTGCGAAGGCGCTTGTGTGGTTTGGGCTTGCTGGCCGGCCAGGGTGGCAGGCAGCAGTTCTGAGCTGGGGGACAACGTTGCTGTTCCTGAAATTGTTGCCACATTGCTCCGCTCCCCGCGACTTGTTGTTGGTTTTGGAGGGCTCATTTGAGACGCCTTTTCTCTCTCACCCAAGGCAGCTGGTGATCAGCACGGCCCTGCTCACGGCTCTTTGGCCGGGGCCCCCAGGCCTTTTTCGGCTTGGGATATTCTCGTTGTTAGGTGGAAGGTTTGTAGCTCGGAGCTGGATGATTGCTTGCAATTGACTCTAAGATTCTGGGAGAGTACCTACTGCTGCCCCAGAGGGAACATGGAAGGCGTAGGCGTCACCTCCGCAGTGTCCCCCTCCCTAGTAAGAACGTTGCAATTTCCAGTATATAAAGGATTAATATAAGCAGCGTTAAACAAAATGTGTGTTTGTCTTGGTGTGTATCTGTGTGTGTGTGTGGTGTGTGTGTGTGTGGTGTGTGTGTGTGTGTGTGTGGGTGGGTGGGTGGGTGGGTGGGTGGGTGGTGGGTGGGTGGGTGGGTGGGTGGGTGGGTGGGTGGGTGGGTGGGTGGGTGGGTGGGTGGGTGGGTGGGTGTGTGTGTGTATCTGCGTGTGTGTGTGTGTGTGTGTGTGTGTGTGTGTGTGTGTGTGTGTGTGTGTGTGTGTGTGTGTGTGTGTGTGTGTGTGTGTGTGTGTGTGTGTGTGTGTGTGTGTGTGTGTGTGTGTGTGTGTGTGTGTGTGTGTGTGTGTTCGTGTTCGTGTTCGTGTTCGTGTGCGTGTGCGTGTGCGTGTGCGTGTTTGTGTCTGCGTGTCTGTGTGTGTGTGTGTGTGTGTGTGTGTGTTTGTTTCTTTGTGTGTGTGTGTTTGTTTCTTTGTGTTGGTTCCGAATTGGTTGAGCAGTTAATTCTTCAGTGTTGGTTCTACAGTGTGCCCTAGTACGACTGGAGCTGGGGATGGCAGACAATTTGCTAGTTCTTTTGGGAGAAGACCCATTTTGGATCGCCTGCTTGTTATTGTAGTGTTCTGTTTTGACTGCCCAGGATGGCTATCACTGCACTCATCGGCCTCTACGCGTGGTATCAAGATATGCGCCACGGCACAGGGAGTTCGCCACAGCTGTGGCTTAAGCCCATGTCAGACTTTAGCTTAAGGCCCCTTGCTCGCAAATGCCGTCACTGAATGTTTGCCAATCGTTGCATGGAGCTTTCAACTTGGACCGAATGCAGCACAGGGGGTACAGTAGGTGGTGGAAGCGGAGGCTGATTGCTCTCATCTCGCTGATTCAAAGGCCATGGTTGGTGGTATGATGGAGGGAAAATATATGCATACCTTTCCCTTGCATCAGAATGGAGGGCTAATGTCGAAGACCGAAGGTGTACTGGCTTGCGCGTGTGTGGAGTTGAAACCAACAAATTATGAGGAACAGCACTACGGTTGAGCGGTGCTGTGCACCCTTCAGCACGTAAGTCAAGCCAACTCAGCAGCAATATCCATGTCAGCAGGTGTTGCCTTCTGAACCCGTCACGGGGGCACACGCAACCCAATTGCCTGAAACGTTTGCTTCGGCCAGTCGCTGAGGAACATCACTTACATTTGCCTTTGGGGCTTTGCCAGCGCCTTTTTGGGCGTCATGGCAGTCATCTCGGATCTCATCCCGGCCAGGGGTCCTTGGGGCTGGGGACAGAGGGAGGTTGACAAGTGATTTGCGATGTTTTGAACCAAAGCTGCAAATGCAATGCACGTAGCTAAGTAAATCGGTCCTTATTTGATGGTCATCACGAAGCAAATATGGTAATCTTTAGTCATAGGTTTCATGAACACCCCAATACTGGCATCCCGCATTCGCAAAGCATCCACAGCCTCGTTGCACAGCCATGCCAAGATACGGGCTCTAAATAGGGTTGGACAAGATCAGAAGCAATGCGTGCTGCCATGATGCTGACACGACCACGGTCTCTGATAAACACTTGGGAGAAGTGTGTGCGCACGAGCATGTGTGTGTGTGTGTGTAGCCACCTGCGTGGACATGTGCCTCTATGCCAGGATGCATTTGGGAATGGTAGCAAATGCACGAAAGGCCATGCTATATGCATATATACATATATGCATATATAGAAGCATGAGTGAGTGGCAATGTATATAACCTATCTATGTATGTGCCAGCGCATGTTTGTGTGCAACACTGCAGGCCATCACCGGTGTCCTCACGCTGCTTGGCAAAGTCCCTGCTTGGTTTAGACATGCAGGTTTGAGGGAGGCTCTTCAGCCGGTGCCAGGAGAATTGTTTGCCAACATGGGGGACCTGGCCCGGTTCCTGCCCGGCAACCCCAAGGTTTGATATCTTCGGCCTGCTTGTGATGATCAGCGCTGGGCAGCCCGAGGGTGAGAGACAGAAAAAGAGAGAGAGAGAGAGAGAGAAAAAGAGAGAGTCGTCCAGCCATCCTGGACCAGTGACAGTCTTCAGGAGGTGAGGGAGTTAACCTAGAAAGCGAATGCTTGCAAGGAACATGACCGCCCATTTGCCTTGCGTGAGGCTTTACTCCTCTTATAGTTATACTGTTAAAACATAGCTGCGGGCGCAACTCCAATTGATGGATTAGGAACGCGGTCAGGTGCATTTCTAGGGTCTTCTTCCTGACCTCACTCAGGGAGCACGCTCGGG